CGCATGGCTTTACAGGTCCAGGATATGCTCCTATAATTTGTGGGATAAATTATTTGCTTAAATAAAAACAATTACTTATAGCATGGAATACTAATTAAATAGTAAACTTATTTATTGCCACTGAGAGTCAAAAAGCTGAATCCATACATTAGGCTTGTTTAATTTTGGATTATCATGTTGTATTAACTGAGAGATTGTAAAATGTGATTTATAATATGTCTGTTGCTGCCCAAACAGTATTGTTAAAGCAAATTATAACTTATAATATAATTAAAAGCGGCTTGTAATGTAAGCAGAGCTTTTTCAACTAAGTGGCTATTCTTAACTACATTTTCACTGAAGAAATATTGCATTAAAGGAGAAAGAAAGATGCACAACCTACATAGCTGCAGAAACCTTCCTACCTGCAAAGAAAAGCCTAGTGTTGAATGTTGTGACAAATTGTGTTTGACAGCTCTGTTTATGTTGCAAGGAGTAATGAGTGCTGACAGTTGTGAGGGCCACCCACCAGATTATTTACTTTCAAAGTCAACTGTGTTTAGATAGTGTTTCAGCTTTTGCATCTGGCTAGCCCACAGATGCTACTTAAATACAGCATTTCAGTTAGCACAATCTACCAGGAGTCTAATCAATAACGAGTGTATGTCAAGTTGTCAAAGCAAGCACTATTAATATCACACTCTTGAGGCTTCTATTAAATATTTTGTTCCTCTAGAGGCCAAGACAGCTTGTTAAAGAGTTCTTCTTTTGCACACTAAGGGAAAAAAAACACACTTGTGGAATGGTTTATTAAGAAACAAATATAAGATAATAACGGGGTTGCAAAAAAAATGTTTTAAGTAGAAAACAAACAAAATACTCCTTTAGAAATATTTAAAATGCCTTTTGCCAAAAAGGAACATTCAGATTTGATGCCACAAAGAGAACACAATCAGTAAAATTGTTCAAGATATCCACTTAGGGTGCCAGTGAGAAGGCCCTTTTTTATATATAAATGCATACATTTTTTAAAAAATTAAGAATTTTACAATACAATAAAAGTATAAAAGATGAAAATTAAAATAAGGGTGGACTTTCTGGGGAATTTTGGGAGTTGAAGTCCCACACATCTTAAAGTTGGTAAGGCTGAGAAACATTGTTTTAGCCAGTTAAGGCTTTAAAATTTTAATCCACATCCTGAATTGGGTCAGTAGCAAACAGATGTAGGAGATGATCAGGTGGAGCCCGAAGGAGGGGTCAAATGTATCATCAGTTTGGAATCATTACGTTTCCACAAGAGATCTAAGTTGAGATGTGATCTAGTCTAGCCTCTTATCTAGCGCCAACTTGGCTTGATTGTTAGTAAATCAGATTCTTGTGTATAGGTAGCATGAAATAAACTTCTAGTGCCTTGAGCTCTATTTCTGTTTCTGTTTCTTGTGCTTGACAATAGGAAACCATTACTTAATATAATTACTTAAGCATTGGAATGGAATGAATCTGTTAACAGGTACTGTAACTTAAAAAATGTTTAATTATATTTAAGCAATTTTATTGTTGTAAACTGCCCAGAGTAGCTTCCTGATGAGATGGGCAACAAATACATTTAACAAAAAAACAATCAAACAAATAAATAACAATAACATGTCTCAAAATTTTAGCTACAAAATTTTGAAAAGGTTAAAGGCTCCAAATTGTTTAAGATAAATTCCAAATTTTACAGCTGGTGCAGTTTGCAATGCCTAACCCTTACTTCTTTCGGACCAATAATCAACAAAAGTTTTTCTTTTTGCCAATTTCGATGAAAAAATAAAATATAATTAATTTGGAAGATGAACCCTAAACTGTGTTTAATGTGACTTGGAAAAGAGATCTTCTCCTAAACAGAAAAAACTTTGAAAACTGTAAGTCTGCTCACTGATTTCATCCAGCACATGTACAGTTTTGAATAGTATACTGTACACTTTTGAATAGTATATTGTTTTAGCCTCTGAACAGAAAGTGACATATAAATCTAATAAATAAAATATTGACAAATCAACCAATAGCTATGGTTCTTAAAGGTTTTTATGACTTTAAGATCTGACTAAGTAATTAACATGTTTTCTTTTATGTTTATTGGCATCCTGGATAATATTTAAAAAGGATTAGCTCTCATTCTCAACATGCTAGATGTGTAAAGTAGGTTAGGTGATACTTTGTCATGATATAGGCGTGTCCCATTATTTCCATGCTTTGCTTTAATATTTTGATAAATGCATTTTAAACATCTGAATGTATGCTTGAATTATACACTCCAAACTTGGAATTGTATCAGATATCAATGATTTATCAAGCATGGTGGCAGCAAGAATTGCTCTTCAACACTGAAAAGACTGGCACCAAATCTGCAGTCCTGAATCATCAATATGCATTTGCTTTTTGTTATGAACTGGATCTCTAGCACTGCAGTGGAAAAACTGATCAATACTATTCTGTGTGGCCAAGGTTGAATGAAGTCTTGTGCTGAATGATTTTCTCTATATGTGTGATACACACACACACTTTTCTCTTTCTTTTCTGTATATTAAAGCAATAAAAATACAAAAGAATTTTAAGATAAACACTGCAGCATATTAAGTTAATTATTTTAGTCTATACAATGTCGTTAAAATGGTGACCTAGCTTGAAAATGAAAGGAGATCAGCTAAATACAAAACAAGCATTATTTCATAACAACACTATATGCTGGGAATTAAAAAGCTAGATTGGTGAACCAAAGTACAGTATGCTGGCAGATGAAATATTCCGAACAGGAGAAGCTTAGAAACATAATTAATGAAGGGCCAGCTACACAACATACCTGATGCAACCTGTTTACTGCCAAAATGAATTTATTACTTTTGAGATGTGTAGGGTTGTTGTTGTTGTTAATTAATTCAAAGCCAAGAGAAACATCAGTAGATTCACTACATTCTGTTTACAACTCCACGCAACATGTCTAGTGGTGCTACATGGACATTTGCTGGCCCAAGAGTTGACGTTAATTAAAAGCCCATATACAAAGTGAGTGACCCACAACACTTAAGTGACCCACAACACATTTGTTGAGTTCTTTTTTGCATATGTATTTGTCAGAATATGATAGATGACAAGCAACCAATTAAAGCCAGCATGATGGCTTTGGTTTATAACTCAGGGTAGGGGGTTAGTTTTAAAAATCTTGAAGGAAGGAAAAGATTAGGTGCTTTAATACACAAAGAATCTGCCAAAGAGAGTAAGAAGCAATGTGAAACAAGACACCATTTCCAGAATGAGCTGCATTTAGTTTTCTAAATAAACTGGTACTGAAGAATGTGCACAGGAGATTGACATGGCAATCAGCCAATTAAGCAGCATCGGTTTTCAGTATTTGGGACTAAGTACTTCTTGATCCCAATCAGAAATTGTTAACACCAATTTTGTAGCCATTACAAGAATGTTACAAGGATAACAGGCAATAGAAAAAATATACCTATACCTCCCTCCTGTTTTGAGCCTGAACGAATATTATGTGCAAATGAGCACGCACACAGATATACAATTACATGCACACAAGCTTAACCTTTACACTCATATACTGCATTTTCCCTTGCACATTGCTTAAATTCACTCAATTTTTACAATTTTGAACTTCTCTTGCTTGAAGGGCACGACAAGCCATGAGACTTGCATTCTCTGCTTCCACTCCCCAGTGCACAGAACTACAGAGGATAAATGAGTTGGGCTTTTTGGGGTTCCGATTTATCTTCTCTGTGGTTTATATTGCTATAGAACAATGATTAAGAGACATTGGTATGAATTGTTGTTAGTAAGCCCATGACACAAAGAGAGGAAACTGGTGATTGTGGTGGACTGATAAAACATGGGACAGTAAAAGTTGAAGCTGAAGCCTGACAAATTAAGAGATACTCCTGATATCAGGAAGATTCCTTCGTTGAATGGAACTGTCATTTTTCTAAAAGGATGGTCATTTATCTGTGCTTACAGAGTTAATGCTACTAGTGAAGGTACAAGGAATGCTTTTTGAAAAGAAATGCTTTTTTTCAATCTCTAACCATCCTTGTATAGGCAGCCCACAATGACACTGGTAAGCTTAAGCAATCCTGACTGCATGGTCAAAGAGCTGCACTGGGTGCCAGAATATTACTCAGTGCTTGAACTGAGAAAGTTTGCATGTCTTAGGACCTGGATGCTGATGGATCACCTTCTCTCTTATATAATTGACCATGCATTCCTTCATCTCTAGAGAAAATGCCATCTTGAGGGAGACACGTTTGGCAAGTAGTGAGTGGATAGAAAGCATTCTCAATGCATTGGTCATGACTGTTGAAATTCCGACCTCCATTTCCCTTCCCAGGTCTTACAAGTTGTACAGAAGACTTCTTATTCATGCATGACTTCAGCTGAAACTACACTGTTGTGTTCCTCTTTTTTTTTTTTTTAATTTCATTTATATGCCGCCCTTTTCCGGAGACTCACAATGCGTTAAGCAATAGCCTTCATTCTTTTGTATATTTTATACAAAGTCAGCTTATTGCCCCCACAAACTGGGTCCTCATTTCACCTACCTTAGAAAGGATGGAAGGCTGAGTCAACCTTGAGCCTTGGAGAGATTCGAACCAGCAGAAATTGCAGGCAGCTGTGTTAATAACAGGGTGCACTAAACCCCTGTGCTATCAAGGCTCTTGCCTGCAATGGTTTTGCTGCTACCTTGTCTCCTGTTTTATGGTTTTGAATTAGAGTACATAATTTTCTATGCTCTTCGTCAGTTTTGCATTCTTGCTTTGTATGTTAATTAAAAATAGATGTAAATGTAAAATAGTAAAACACATTTTACATAAACCAAATAATGAAGCTTGGCCTACACATCATGAGGAACAACCAAAAGATGCGTCTTGGAGTTTAGCAGAGAAACTGTGAGTTCTTATGGGAAATGCTCAGAGAAAGGCACGTGGATCAAAATCAGTGCAAATGTTTGTCACTACATATAACAATCTAAAATGGTTTGATTCTTCTTTTACTCATCATGATTTATTAGCTTAGATATAAGAAATACAAACAGCAATTTAAACCAAATCCAAAGGAATAACGTTTACATGCTTAAACACAGTACATAATATGAAAACATTCTTTTGTTCAGAAAAAATACAGAAGACTCTTGGCAAAAATAATTTAAGGTTGTATTTTGAATTAGTAATGAGACCATATTAAACACACAATATATTAAATGCAGCACCTGTCATGCAGTTTATTCCAATTAGTTCTATGCGTTGTTCATTATAGAAAGATATTAAAATTTATGAAAAATATTATTTTTGAATTTATTTTCAAAAAAAGCTTGAAAAATATGGTAGAGTGATCCCGTAAAACAAGCCTGATCCACATAAATTGAAGAGCCCTAATGGATCTCAGTAGCAGCCTTATTTCCTCTGCCAATAGCAGCATGAAACAGAATAGGGGAATTCCAGGAATCCAACAGTGTTTCCATATCCCTCTCCAACATAATATCTAGCTTTAGAATGAAAAACTGACTACAGGAGACATATGGTATGTGACTCTACAATCTCCTTTCTGTAAAATATAGGGCTGTAGTGGAAGTTAAGACCATGAAAAGAGTGCTTTAATGGATCTTTCCTACAGGAGCCCACATTCAACTGAATCAAAAAAATATAAAATGATCAGTCTTATGTTTATTTAAGAAAAGGTTACCAATCAAAAGTATAAGGCCATTTTTAAGTAAATACTTTAGTTCAGTGTTACATAATTAGCAGGAAAAATGCCAGTCCTGCCGTGTAAACTTCCTTCCCACCAATCAAATTGGGAATCCGTTTTTGTTGTGACCTTGATTTTGTCTCCAGCATTAAAAGTCAAATCTCCTGGCTGCTGTCCTTGAAAGGGATATATGGCTGTCACAATTGTAGGATTGAACTTGGAGTTTTCTGGGAAAAAAAAGAAAGTAAGTTAGCTTTGTACAAATTTAGCTGTGTCATATTTTACCAGGAACAGCTAATTTCACAATCCAGAAATCTAAGATGCCTATGGAAATATCTGAGGAGTTGCCTAGAACAGCAAGAAATAGAGAAATTCTTAGTCAAGATATCACATTCGTCTTCCTTAACTTAATTTTCTTAAAGGATCCAAATGCGTTTGAAATGGTGCAAAACAGCTAAATTGGCTAAGTTAATTTTTTTGTTGTTGATGTTTCTTTTTCATTCTAACACAGAATTGACAAATTGTTACTTGTTTAAACTAGATTAACTTTAAGTGATTGACTAGATTGCAAAGGCCCTAAATCTTTAGAAAGAGATGTTCTCAACACAACTAAAAACACATTTTGAAAATATATTGAACTAGTTACTTGCTTCTGCATAAGCAGACAAGATTATGCAGTACAAATTTGCTTAATCATTATGTGCATTAAGTTCTTTCAATTGTAACTTTTAAGTATAAAGCTTTCACAAGATGGTGCTACAGTGCTACCTTAAAAAAAATAGATGTAAGTGACCGAGTCATGCTGATCCATTAATCTGTAACTTCTAAATCAAAGATGATGATAAAGTCATGAGTTATGTTATTAGTATTGCTACATTAGAATAGGAAAAAATAGTACAGAAATAGGTACACGTCAGCTGAAAGAAAGCACCTCTAAGTCAATTTGAGATAAACTTAAAATTTGCTAAAGTTCATTTTATGTGTACGGCTTTGATTACTGAACCTGATTCAGATATGTTGTTGCTCTCCTCTCAGTGATTTCAGAGGAAACAAGATAATTAACCTATCCCAGAGAAACCTAATTAATCTAGACAGAACTTCCAGCTTATTAAATTTTATGAACTGCATATAGCACCCTTTACTGGCTCAGATTTGTAAATGAGACATGCCTATATTTTACTATCAACATATTTTGCAAAATAATCAGAAAACATTTGTTATTTATCATTGATCATGATAGCAAAAGTTGGTGTGGTGTCAGATTTTGATAACAATATTTGCTCTCCTTTTTTATGTATTATGCAGTGTTTCTCAACCTCGGTGACTTTAAGATGTATGGACGTCAATTCCCAGAATCCTCCAGCCAGCTAGTTGCAGTCAATACATTTTAAAGTTGCTAACATTGAGAAACGCAATATTACAACATTACCCAGGCAAGGTCCAATATCTCCTGTGTAGTGCCACAGAACTTTGAGTCTGGCATGTCATCTGGCACATTCTCTTTTTAAGCCCTCTTCTACTAAGAGGTGACCTATAATAAACCAAGTATATTGACAAAGTCTAAGGCCACACTTCTCTTCTCTACATTCTCATGAAGCAGACGTTGGGAAAGTTTTAAATGGCTATCCAGAATGACCTGACATATTTATGACTATTAATTTGATTTAAATACAAAAATGCCATGTTTCTTTTTTTGCTGTCGGTACTGGAAAATACTTGCAGCTACTGCAATAATATATCTACCATAACCTTCAATCATACTTTTGTCAGAGTTTAATCTTAATAGAATGCTTGGATCATCTCCCAGGGGGATAATTATGTTGCAAAAGGAAACTACAGACTGAATGTTTTCCAGATTTCCAAATTCACTTCTGAAAAGTTAATATCTACCTGCTAAAATTGGCATAAAAGTGGCAATGAAAGAATAAATAATTATGAAATAAACTTTCACAATGAAGACAAAAAACATTTAGTTATTGCAGCAGGTAGTAATTTTTCTTTTTAAAAAAATCCAAGCTATTATCTAATATTCTAAATGCTAATTTTACAATAGGGCAAAGGAAAAGAAATCACGATGAGCACATGCATATATCTCTACAGCAATTTCTAGATATTACTTTGATCCTTTATTTTTTTACTGCTCTGTCCTTGAGAGACCCGTGTAGAACAAGCAACATCCACTTATCAAGTTTTGATTGTTAAAATATACATTAATAATAATTGCTGCAGTGCATTGTTTTCACAGTGTCTAAGCCTGGACGGGCAACATCATTAAATACAAAAAACAAGAGAGTCCATGCTACATTTTGTAAAATATGCAAGATTCTTGTATTCGGACAAGGTTCCTAAAATGATATAAGACAAAATAGAAGCAATGGTAATAAATATACACTTGTTTATAAATGAATGAGACATATTCATACTCAAAAAGTGAAATTTTAAGAGGAGATATGCAAGTCTTATGTTTAATTCCTTTCCAAATTATCTTGCAAAATGCTTTATTTCAAATATTTCCACTCTAGGGTCTCAAGTATTGCCCTTGGTGACTTCATGTAAGGCTGGGAAAGATTCCCATCTGGAGTTCTGTAAAAATATTGTTGGTCAATAGACACAAGGTTAAACCAACTAGTTTTAACCTGGGATAATACAACAACTTATGTTCCACTTACGATATTAGAGCTGAAATAGAAATAAATAAGAAAGATACATAAACAACAAATGAGGCTGCCTCCAACAACTACAAGCTGTGTGAAGTTTAGTAACATTTAAGCTAGTTTTCCAAACCAATGGCTTCAGATATGTTACATTACTATGGCCACCATCTTCAACCAGATAGAAAGGTTATCTTAAAGGCTTGCATATCAGCCGTTGGGAACTTCTACAAAAAATTCAATGGATCCATATTGCTCCTGGAACTGGTATTTTACACATACATACATTTTTTTTATCTCTCTGTACTGTTTAAGTATTGTAACCTTTATTACTTGCCTCAAAATTCAAGCTACTGCACTGCTGGAGCTGGATGGAGAAGAGTTTTAAAATTTTAGTGATATTTTCAATGATTGGCTGAAAGACCATTGCACACTGTAAGAATTTATTTCTTTGGCAAAAACAGCAGAAGTACCACGTTAAGAATGCTAGAAAAATACATGTTTCTAGTGCCTGCCTATTATTCAGTAAGTTTAACACAATGGCATTGGCCCAAAACACACATAAAACAAAGACCTCAATTTTCTAGTCCTAGCATGCACTGACCTCAGTTGCTATGTACCTTTGCAATCAACTGGCTCAGCAGAATGGATTTTTCAAGCTTTTTTTTAATAGCAAGCTACACTGCATTTTTTTTTTTTTTGTCATTTCAAGAAAGTACAGGCCAAAAAAGAGGCTTCCTTCAAAATGATTGCAGAATTGATCACAGCAATGTTTATTATAACTGAGCCGTTACAAATAATCTCAGCAAGTTTCCTGTGATTTCCTGCTTCAAGGAACAGCATTAAGGGAATTTAGATTAGTTAAAACAGCAAGAGAGATACTATTAAATGCATGATTACTTGTCTTTAAAATCAGCTGTTAAGTTCCACCAGAGAATCACAAAAATAGATTATGCTCTCATAAATCTCCTTAAAAGGGGAAAGGATTCAGTGTTGCATGCCATGTTTTATAAACTTATATAGATTATACTTTTGCTTACGGATCTTCAGAAATACATATCTATCAGTCACCTTGATCTGGCTTGCTACCCTTATAGTTTATAACTAACTATAGGTTATTCCCATAAAATTATTACAAATATATTGGAACCCAGTTTATGAGCATCAGTTCTGATTATCCTGAAACAGTTCAACACAGTGGCCCCCAACCGTTTGGCTACCAGGTATTGGTTCTGTGGAGAGAGGTTTTTCTGTGGACCGGAGGAGGCGTGGTTTTGCATCCTGCCTGCATCCAACGGATGGGGCTTCACCTGTTTGCGCAGCCCGGTGCCGGTCCATGGACCGGGGGTTGGGGACCCCTGGTGTAACAGAAACATTTTACCTGCTTCAAAGAGGTAAACAGTCTGTTCTTATGAGAGGCAAACATTATTATTTAAGTACCTTTTCCAATAATATTACAAAAGTTGTTACTCAAGGATGCAGTTAAATATAATTATTAAGGCAAAGCCTTACCTCTTTTGTGCTGCTAGATGTGTTAGAACTGCAGTTCTCCAGTACTACCAGAAGTAGTATTTGGTTTTCTACAAAAAACTCTCTGAAGGATTGTTTTTTTTTTCCAGAGATATGATGTTCATAAAACATGATATGCAAGATAATGTAATGTCCATTCTTTCTGATATAAAACTCATTGTGCTCAATAGGACATGCTTCCTTCATCCTTACTAAGTTTGCAACCTAACTGTTTCTGTTTCTATATTACAACTGTAGTGTGGGAGCCACCTTCCTATAAGCCTATTCTGTACAAACTGTGTCTACACTTAGAAACCACAATGCATACTTAGCTATTTGTTATTTGGTCTGAAAAGGGAAAAATATTACTAATTTCTATGAACTAATATAAGGATATAATACACAACAGTCTGTGAGTACATTACTGTATCATATACTGTATACTATATCATATACTATATAAGGATGGATTTGATTTAAATCACTAGTAAAAAAGGGGGATGACGACAGAGAATGAGGTGGTTGGATAGAGTCACTGAAGCAGTAGGCGTGAGCTTAAATGGACTCCAGAGGATGGTAGAGGACAGGAAGGCCTGGAGGGTTGCGATGGGTCCATGTACTATATGTATACTAGGCTTCTGGAAAAGTAACTCAACAACTAAGGAGCCCTAGTTACTATCAGTGTTGTCTTTGGATAATGAACCAGTTTAATGGAAAATTATGTCCCTTTATATGTGCCAGGTTTTAAACAAACAGATTCTTGCTATTTATCATCTCCTGACTCTAACAAATAGCCAAACTAGAGTCATTTAAATTTTAGCATAAACATGCTATGTCTCTACAAGTTGTTCAAAGGAATAAAATGCTCGCAAGGACAGTGAAGTTAAAGAACAAAATCAATTTTATATCTTTCTATAGAAAATAAACTTTATAGTTCAGAAGGCAGTCCTTTACTTTCTCTGACTAAAGGAATTAAACCCACCATTAACTGAATGAATAATATCTAATAGGAAACATTTATATCCAAGTCCCTGGCTGCAAAGGAAGGCCTACCTTGTTTTATTATGCTTTTCTTTATTGTGCTTCACAGGTATTGTGGGTTTTCTTTACAAAACACTCCACCAGCAAAAAGATTATGACTTGCCAAAGGCTCAGATTTAGCCTTTTTTAACAACAAAGTATTTTTAATTAAGGTATATACGTTGTGGGTTTTTAGATATAACTACTGCACACTTAAAGAGACTACAGTGTAGTGTAAACATACATTTTATATGCAACGTAAAACAAAAACAAAAATCTTATGTGTCGCTATTTACTTTATTGCAGTGGTCTGGAACTGAACTTGTAGTATCTCCAAAGTATGCCTTAGACAAAATGTTAGGACTCTACCAAGTTCTGAACAGGAGAATTTCATCCAAAAGGAGCTTAAGAATTTTTGCAGCATTTATAAAAGGCTGATAATTAGTGTTTATGTTAGCTGCTGCTGTCCTGACAGCAACAAAGTGGGAGAACCTAGGCATAAAGTCACTTGGTTGAACTGAGCAGCTATATAAATTAAATAAAACACATGTAATATATTGAAATTGCTCACTTGGAAAGGATAGTTGTGAAAGTTTACTGCATTAGCAATTAGCTAATTAACAAGTGGAGGAAATCCCATAGTCCTATTGTATTGTATTCTGTTCTGTTCTGTTCCCTTTCCTTCCATTCCGTTCCATTTTCTTTCTTCTCTCTTTCATCTCTCTCTTTCATCTCTCTTTCATCTCTCTCTCTCTCTCTCTCTCACACACACACACACACATACACACACACACACACACACACACACACACACACACACCTCGAACTCTGTTACTTTAAACTTCTTTTAGCCAGGCACCACATCCTGAGAATCAGAGCAGAGAAAGAAAATAATATCATTAATGAGAAAAAATGCTGGGACCAGAGGTGTTGGATAATGTGCTTCAAACTAAATGTAGTTTGTATGCTCCAGAATTGGAGGACTTTGGCCAAAAAAGTTTACCAAGCAAGTTTTCTAGAATCAGGATGAATAAGAATATGTAAAATGAGAATTTGTTCCTTCCTATTTACTTTTTGGGGGGAGAAGGGGAAGAATGGAGGAATGATAGGCAAAAAATGGAAGGGGAATATAAATTCTATAGATTTTGCTCTATTTATTTATGATGGTCTACGACCATAATATAAATTTGATTTGCTCTCTGCGTTCTGAAAACAGCCCTGAGCATAGTAGAAAACATACCATAATGTTTTACTTACATTGAAACATTCACTTTCTGATTTTTCCAACTTACTTTCCACTGATCGAATAAGAAACACCCCCACCCCCACATTTGTAGGTCATGCACCTGTACAGAATGTAGTGAGCAATAGTCCATATTCAAGCTGAAAGAGGACTATGCTTGCATCAAACATCAGTCAATCAGAATAAAGCTGGAAGGGATCTTGGAGATCTTCTAGTCCAACCCCCTGCTCAAGCAGGAGACCTTATACCATTTCAGACTGTCTCTTCTTAAAAACCTCCAATGATGCAGCACCCACAACTTCTGAAGGCAAGCTGTTTCACTGGTTAATTGTCCTTACTGTTAGGAAGTTTCTCCTTAATTGCACGTTGCCTTCCTCCTTGATTAGGAGATCCTTTGTTTCTTGTCCTGCCCTCTGGTGCTTTGGAAACTAAATTGACCCCTTCTTCTTTGTGGCAACCTTTCAAATACTGGAATACTGCTATCATATCACTCCCAGTCCTTCTTTTCTTTAGACTAGCCAAACCCAAATCCTTCAACTGTTCTTCATATGTTTTAGTCTGTAGGGCTTTAATCATCTTAGTTGCTCTTCTTTGCACTTTTCCAAAGTCTCAACATCTTTTTTTGTAATGTGGTGACCAAAACTGGATGCAGTATTCCAGGTGTGGCCTTACAAAGGCTTTATAAAGCAGTACTAATATTTTATCAGTTTACACAATTTTCTTTTTTCAAGAATACTAGACTGCCTTGCCAGTCCATGGCCCAAAATTTTGGCTGTTTTGGTCATATGAGCATAAGAACACTAAAAGTTTGAAGAACTCTGGATTATTGGTATCTCATTTTCTTTCAAGGTAACAGCAAAAAGTAACATTCTATAGACCAGTGTTTCTCAACTTTGGCCACTTTTAAGATGTGTGAACATCAACTCCCAGAATTCCCTAGACAGCCATACTGGCTGGGGAATTCTGGGAGTTGACGTCCACACATCTTAAAAGTGGCCAAGGTTGAGAAACACTGCTATAGACAGTAATAATTTGTTTTACTTGTTCTATTCATAACTATTCTAGGCCAAATCTGCTGAGATTCTAAATAATTGTAACCAATATATGTGTCTGTGTGTTGCCCCTTACCAAAAGCTGTATGTTTTTAACAGCTTAATCTTCCTCAATCTCATAACTCATATTTAAATTGTAGGCTGGAATAAATTTCTAAATGGGCATCTGTAGGTGGAACAAGCAAGAAAAAATGACAAAACAGGTACCGCAACATTGCAACGGAAACTGCATCTCTTTTGTATCAGTGTTGTAAGATTCTGTGGACCTTTCTGAGTTCGTATGTGGAGAAGTAGACCAATATCACAGAAACCTTCATTTACTTCTATTCAAACAATTTCCCGAGTTCTATAACTCTCTGCGCTGACTATTATGACTTATAATACAATAAATACTCACCTATTGCAGTGGAGTTCTTGGGAAGCTCAGGATAAAGTCTGTTCGATGTTCTTGGAGCTAGAGAAGAATTCAGAACATTACTACGTTAGTTAACACATTCTATATGATGGTTTCTTCCTTTCCTATTAACAAAGCTAAAACTATTGGCCCAAGCTAGTCAGGAACTACAGTATTAAGAAAAAAAAGAGAGGAGACTAAATACTAGCTTACCACAAGAAAGAATTCATAAAGCAACAAAAGAGAAAGCCCAGTCTTAATAGGTGGTGGTGATTATTTGATACAGCACATTGTGTTTTCACAAAGCAGAAATTTAAAAAGATTATGGGAGGAAATTGAATTTTTCTTTAAAAATAAATAATGGAAAATTGATGAGGGTGAAGTTGAAACATTTCATGTATCAAGAAGAAAATAATCTCCACTGTCCTCAACCAGATCAGTGTAAGAAAAATAAAAAGATTTTCAGATTTGATTCAATGTATTATAATTTCAGTTTGTGATTTATACTGTATTTACAATGAACTTAATTATGTACTCTTAATAGTAATTCCTAGTTTTGTAAATCATGTAGTTTATAATTCATAAGTAATTAATGATATACTAGAACACTGTAATCCTCATAATAGCATAGATCCTTTATTTGTATGTTACTGTTTACATTTTATTCTTTTTACATGTTTTCTCTGTTTATACTGTTCCTCTAAAGTCTTTCATTACGAAGTAGAAAACAAAGATAATAATGAAGAGGAAGAATTAGAGTGTATGTTAAAACTTGCTTTAACATGCTTAACTCCTGATGGAAAGACATTACTGAAATAGGCTTAGATTAAAATGAAAAAATTGCAATGAATATTCTACTAACTGATTCAAAAGTCCTCTATTATTCTATTGTATGAATACGGAAATTCAGTCACTACTTAAACAACCCTTGTGTTAAAGAGGTGGATTTCATTTGTTTTTGTTTGACCACAGGACAAGGAAGAACACTGTCAAATTCTGGAGTTGCTTCATTTATAACATCATTTCCAGGCTCACTGCCCTGGTTTTTTTCCTTTTTAAAATGGCTGTGCTTTATCAAGAAGTTTTTTTTTTTAACAGTACTATATGTATTTGCATTTTTCTTTTAGTGTTATGAATGTATCTTGACTGCCACTGTTTGCCTAGCAGCCCTTTGACTTGGGACAGAGATCACAAGGTCTACTGGAACTCAACTCAATAACAGAATATAATACAACACAATGTTACTTTGAACCAAGGAAAAAGAAGTGAAAACATTACAATGTTCTTAAAGAAAAACAACCAGCAGATCAACCATGAAATGTTGTCATGAAGCATCCTTTTTGTGGCAACATGTGATGTGATGTGTTCCCATAAAATTGCACTTTATAACCTTATCACTTGGCAAAGGAAATTGCAGTCTCAATTGCCATCATAACGTGAGGACTACTTGTACACCAAACTGGCTCCAGATGTCATTTACTGTCTCTTTTATCTGCTAAAGGTTCTTGCATTCCTTGGCCAACTTTATCTTTGCCGTACTGTCTAAAAGTAGCCTTAGTTACAATACATATCACTGTTTCAAACATTCACTATGAATGAGTCAGATTACTCCAAACCCTCTCTCTCTATGTCCAAAAGGTTTCATCATTTTAAAAAGAACAGTCAAAGGTCAGAAAGAAGACTGGGAAAAGCAGAGCACTATAATTTCCCCTCAGCTTCTGATTAAACTTTTCTCAGGAAAATGGAGGTCCAGGTAACTGGAACAGAAAAAATATATTTCTCAGGACTCTTCTGTTTCTGAAGAAATTGTTAAGATGTTTAGCAAGGATGTTGCACTACTGTAGATTTGATTTCTGTTTTCTATGTGGCCCCAAATCTTTGCTGCAAAAGGTGGGAACTATATATATTTTCAGCCATTATCTATCATTCAGGGTGGGTTCAAATATAGAATGTGTCAGCCTTGGAACCCATATTAGGCCGGAAGCTTCAATGCTGCCATCTCCTCATGTGTGGGAAAGTAGGAGGGGGATTTAGGAGAGGGGAGTTAGTAGACATAATAGCATTTTTTTCCTATCGGTCAAGGTTAGGGCAGTCCAGCATCTGGAGGAGGAGTGGTCAGGGGCTGGGCCAAGGCGAAACCGACAGTAATTGGAACATGTGACCAAAAGGGGAAAAAGGGATTGGTTTTGGGAGCTTTGTATTATTGAAGAAAAGCCCGGGTTTTTCAGATTCGGGATTTCCCAGATGTGCCAGTTTACCTATTGCTAGTAAAGAGAATTTTGGAAAATGCCTGCTTCTGCGTCTTTACTGGGAGTAGGGGGTTTTCTGGAACGCTGACAGCATGCTTTCCTTAGAATCTATTTGTGGTTTGTAATAATACTAAGAACAATCTTTCTCCAGAGACCTGCAGATCATTTTTTATTAGGAGCAATCCAGTTCTATCTAGAAGACTAGATTTCTTAATTAAGTTGAGTTATGTGATTTGGATGGCTCTGTAGTAGAACTTCTCCATAAATGAATGTCTGCATTTTAATATTTAGAGTTAAAAGTTATTTTTAATGTTTTATATTTTTCTTTGAAAAAAAAGTTTGATTTTGTTCATCTCTGAGGTAATTGGTCTATCTACCAAAAAGTCAAAAAAAGTGCTGGACCTTCCGTGTCACCTTGCACAAAGTAGCACTATTGGGGGAAAAAAGCATTTTTCAACAATATTGTGAATTACACATTACCTTCTGGTGGAATGTTTTGTGGTGTCCTACTTGGCTGTTGCTTTACATAATTCTGTCAGGAAAGGAAACAGCCAAAATCTTTATTATCAATATACATCATAAACAGTTTACTGATACCTTATAAACATACCGGATTACAACTGTCATAATTTCCTAGCCAATAAATGCTATTGGCTAAGTATGTGGGGAAAAAAAGATATGGAATAATTTTAGAATATGCACACGCTTTCTATGAGTAATTATTTTAGTCTGTGATTAGCTAATTCTGCATGAGTCTGACTCCCGCCTGAAAAAGTATACTGTCCCAGTTTATGGATACTACATTGTTAAATTTGGCTCTTTCTCTGGAGGCCTGGATATCAAGAGCAGCTCTCCACCACTTAAAGCTCACATGTCACCTACAACTCCTCAACTGAGACAGCTTACACTTCATTATCCAAGCCCTAGTAACAAGTCTTTGAGTCCACTGTAACACATCCTAACAAGGGGCTACCTTGTTAATGCAATCATAACTACCAGCTGGAATTGAACAGAGCATTGGAATATCTTTATGGTTTTCATGTACTATTGGAAACACTGGTCACTCAAGAGTATCTGCCTCCTATTTTCACATGTTTACCTACTCTGGGAGATTAAATAGAATAGACCAGGATGTCCCAAAGGTGATTTTTCTTTTCTTTTTAAGAAAAAGTCTTACAATATAAAATACAAAAATACAAAAGCAAATAGTAGGGAACAAACGGAAGGGAAAGGGGATAGAGAAAAGTGTAGGAAAGAAGAGGGGGGAGGTGTTGACTTCCGACTCCCTCTGATGCAGTAGAATAAGACAGTAACATCAAACCTCAACTTTTTAACTTTTCCATAATAGTATAAACTAGCCTTATCTATAACAACAAATCTATCTAATCAGTAAAACCCAAAATCAAAATTTCATTTCTCCCCCACTTCAAACACAAAGTCCAGAAGCAGTTTCCAAGTAGAAACAAAAGATGTTCTTTTCTTTAATCAAAGCAGTCAATTTAGCCATCTCTGCCAGCTCCATCAACTTTTGCAGCCATTCGTCCATTGTGGGAGTCTAAATGTCCTTCCATTTTTGTGCATAAAGTAGTCTTGCTGCCATCGACATATATATTATCAAAGATCCAAAAAAAAAAAAAAAAAATCCATTAAGCCCAAAAGAGAAGTTTCTGGTTTTATCTTTATATTCACTTTAAGAATTCCGCCTTTTTCAAGGGGCAACTGGACTTTCTTTGTTTTTCCTTGAAGACCTTTTGCTTCTCATCCAAGAAGTGAATGTCTTCGAGGAAAAACAAAGAAAAAAGCACCTTTGGGACAACCATGACCTGGATGGTTGAGAATCCCCATAGACAATACAGAAGGATCTGCTTCAGATTGTATGCCAAACAATTTAAAATCTCTACTAGTTAACTAGTTAAAATCTCTACTAGTTAAGTCCTAGTTAAGAATGGGGGGAAGGGGAATGGCAGTTAATTTAAGAAAGCCCTTTTCATTCTTTTATATTTGCAGGTATAAATTTGTAAAAGCACTTTTCAGGGCTTTTGTCATGATACTACTGGCAGAGGTAGATTTCATTGCCCTCGTTCAACTGAAACAATAAGTGGTTAGAAGTACAGAAAATATACATCATAAGAAGGAACTAAGCAGGCATGAAGCAGGTTAACACAAACCTTTCTTGGTTCTTTGGCCACTGGTGCACTACTGTAGCTTCTTCCTTCCTCAACTTCATATTGAAGAGTAAAAGATTCAAGGATATCATAAAGATCTTGTGCCTGAAGTGGAGGAGAAATATCACCAAACAAAATGGCACTGGCACGAATATCTCGGCCATAGAACCTAAAAAGAAACAAACAAAAATCCTTTATGTTAGTCCACAAGGTTTTATTTGTTTTTTAAAAAAAATTTATACTCAGGTTACAAAGTTGGGGGGGTGGGAGAGATGGGAAACAACACTTCATGTTCCTAGTAAACTGAAGTAAACACTTAATGTTCCTAGTAAACTTTCATTGCATGCTAACTAAATATGAAACCTGCATGTTGCAATAAGTAGGATCTGGGCTGTTGCACTGAGTGTTCAGGTTTGAGCCATGGCCTCTTTCAGGATGTTCCAATATCTGTGCATTTATGATCTACATTAGTTAGAGTCCCTCCCATAAATATACAAAGTCTTGGAAGAATGTAGATAAACAAAACCTTCAAACATTTATATGTGTGCCAGAAGCGTGCATAAAACAAGATGCTCAGTATTTCATGATTAAGTAACCAGACTTTCTACAAACTATAATCCTTTAGTAATTTCTTCCAGGTAAAGCATTTCATGCTGCATTTTTATTACAAACTGGTTTTCTATGTAATAAATATCTCAAAACTGATCATCACTGTCATATTATCAATATTCCTTGTCATAAATGCAAAGCTACTTTGAAACTATTCCAGTTCTAATCCAATTTAAAGATGCTGATGGCTGAATTTAACATTTCCTCCTGTTATTTCATATAAACCACATGCAGCATTTTCAAGAGATAATTTTTAAAAACAAAACACTTTTGTTTATATTATGGCTTTTTTACACCACAGGATGTAAATATTGAACTCAGCACATTGGGCTATTCATTTAAACATACTTGCTGTTGGTTTCTTTTCTTTCAATTAAGCAAGTTCCTTCCAAAGAGACTCCAGCAAATAGGCCTCGAGATTTGCAATACGTATACACAGCAGCAGAGCTCCGCAGTGCCACATCCCCTTCTAGATTTCTAAGAAAGGTAAAAAACATTATGAATAGAATAGAATAGAATAGAATAGAATAGAATAGAATAGAATAGAATAGACTTTATTGTCACTTTGAATGTACACTAATCGGCATACATTTTTGCATACAGCTCTCAAAGGATCACCACCTCCAATATACACCATATAAACATGACAAAATTAATAAATACAAAATTATGGATATAGCTACATATATAGGACACAGAGAAACAACACAGTCTAGTTCAGATGTATACTTGTACATGGCGAGTAAAACGAATCTTGCAACTTTACCAGCCAGATGGCGTAGGGAACAAAGCTGTTTCAGAATCTGGTAGTCCTGGTAGAAATACTTCATATTTCTAGTTAGATTCATATATATTTTCTATACTTGGGGACAGGTGCTTAAACTTCCTTTCACCTTTCCCCATCCAAACTAGATTGCTGGAAAGTGACAACAATAGCAATAAACTACACCCTCAGAAGATGACAGCACCCATCAACCTTGGATTTCTGATCAGCAAGTGGATGGGACACCAAAAGGAAATCTCAGCACTTCAGCCTAGATTAGGAAGTTGAAAATAACTTCTAAAAGAAGGCAAGGCAAAACCACTCTCCTATTGCTATTGTGAAATCTGCACGATCATGGCAATACGTTTATCTGGAATTGAACTCAACTCAAGGAAGGCTTGTTTTTCTAGTAAACTATTAATTGAATCTTATAATTAGATATAATGGAAGTAGTTAATTGGAAAATCCCTAGTTAAAAGCTATCATGGCACTAAAATGCTGAGTCAATAATCCCCAGCAAATGTTAAAAGCTGAACTGTTTCGGAGAAGCTTGCCTTAAGTTTACATCTGCTTTCTTGCCATTTTCTGTGTTTTTCTATGGGTTTTGACATGATTATTTTTGCTATTGTTATTATTCAAATTGGATTTAAGCTAATGGTGGTTATTTTAAAATCTCAGTGGGCAACTGAGAGACTGATTGCAACAGGGCAGAAATATAATTAATAAAAAAAATAAACATTATTCTAACTAATATCAACATATTTATTAAACCTTACTGAACTTTTAATTTCATTGTTGCTCAACTTTGTATTGTGTGCCAATTATGCCCTTTCCTGGTTAGGGAGGCTCTCCGCTAGGCCTCATGCTCTGGTCATCTGCTGTTTGGAGCATTGTAATGTGTTCTACATGGAGCTACCCTTGAAAAGTATCCAGAAGCCTCAGCTGGTATAAAATGCGGCCGTGTGGGCAATTTTAAGCACCCAAAGAATGACACCTGTAAAATCTCTGCCAAACTTGTCATTGCTTCAAGAAAGGTGGTACGTGAGGCAAAAGTGCAAGTGTTTTGCAGAATTTTTAGTACTGAAAGATTTGCCTCAGTGAAATTTTATCCAAGTCATGTTATCACTCCAAAATAAACCTTGGTACACAAATTACTTCCTTTTAGGTTCCTTCTTAAAATATTTTGCAGTTTCAAAACATATCACAGTCATCTATTAAAAGAAATACTTCCAAAGATCTGAAAAAAAAACCAACAACTACTGTTTGATAATCAAGTCTAGAACTTATAGAAAGTAAGCAAAAATAAGTTCATGGACTGTACATCTTTTATTCATTAGATTTTTATCCCGTCTTTATTACTTTATAAGTAACTCAAGGCAAAGAATATACGTAATACTTCTTCCTCCTCCTATTTTCCTCACAACAATAATCCTGTGAGGTGATTGGGCTGAGAGTGACTGGGCCAAAGTCAAGCAACCAGCTTTCATGCTTAGGGCAAGACTAGTACATGCAGTCAGCTAGTTTCTAGCCTGGTGCCTCAACTACTACACCAAATTGACTCTTTTCATATTTTCTTCTCTAAAAGTAAAGAAAAAAAGGAAAAAGAAGAGGAAGGGGAAGAGAAGAGAAATATTAATAACGTGTACAGATGAAAAGAAGCACTTGATGAGCCTTCAGGTAGTCATTAGTGAGTGGTTTGAGTCCAGAGCCTGAAAAAGTTGTAACTGCCTTATTCTGTTCCCTTTTGCACGCAAATGTTCTGACATGGAGAAACATTAATTCAAGTGAATTCCCTCAGGCGCTGGGAATTGGTACAGGAGCCAGGGAAGTGGCATTACATGTTTTGCCCGAATGACTCTCCAAGCGTAAGATGAACAGTACAATTTTCAATTTTCAGGAAACAATTAAATAAGGAGCACAGAAAGAGTTTCAGGCACTCTGACTTTACAGGATATTAATGATACTTACCTCCCTAAAGGTCCAATTGCCACCGTGAAATTTCCTCCCAGAGTAAGATTTCCACCTTTTGCAAAAGCTTCAACTGCTCTTTCATGGTTCAATATTATTACAAGATCTGATATCTGATGGCAGCAGTTTGGGGGTGGAATAGGAGAGAAAAAAAGAATTTAATGTTAGTCTTTTTCCAGAACCAAACTATGGGTTGTTGAAAAAAAAATCTTGGCTAGTGCTAAGGTAAACAATAAAATGCCTGTTGCTGTTTGTCAAGATACATTACAGGCACATACAAGACTACTGTACCTATTTTTTTAATGTTAAGAATATAAGAATTCATGAGATTTCAGCAATCTTAAATTATTTTTTTGTGATTTTGTAGTGAAATCTCATGCAACTTTGGCAGTTGTGATTGATATTCTTTGTTAGGAATCACAACTGGGGCAATAGGTGAGGAACCTAGGTCAGACTGATCACCTCCAACTCAGTATAATGTAATAACAAAACCACTGTGTGTGAGAGACAGAGGGGGGAGCGATTTCTTGAATTCTTTCTCAATGTGGTTTGATAATTCCCTAGGATCAATGAAGTAACTTAAGTAGCTATCATCTTATGGTAAATTAAAGGAAGACAAACTCTTTATTAGGAACTGAAATATAAACATTCATTCTGAACTTGTCTGAATGTTGTCTTCACTTGCCTTGACACAACCAGAAAGGAATTAAATGCAATTCCCAAACACTGCTGCAGAAAAGCAGCATTTCTTTGAGTGAAAGGGAGTGATAAGGTTGACTTTGAAAAGAGCAGAAAAAATCTTGGAGAGGAAAAGAAAAGGAAGAATTATTAGGCTGAGAAGTATGCTTGAGCAAACCTGCTGAAACCCTCATTATTTATCAAACCAGAAAAATCATATGGCCTATAATGATCTATGGTAGATGCAGGATTTGCCAAATGACTAGTTAGTTGCTGTGAAACTGTATCACCATCCTATAAACTATATGAATGCTTGAAAAGCCCACACACATCACTTCTAGTGGGATATAGCTGAAAGCTCATGTGTCAAAGGCTATTTCCCACCAAGTCAACCTGGATAACCTGGCTCAGTAGTAATAACTGAGAGAGGGATCTTGGAGTCCTAGTGGACAGTCACTTAAATATGAGCCAGCAGTGTGTTGCAGCTGCCAAAAGAGTCAATGCAATCCTAGGCTGCATTAACAGAGGGATAGAATCAAGATCATATGAAGTGTTAGTATCACTTTATATTGTCCTTGGTAAGGCCACACTTGGAAAATTGCATCCAGTTTTGGTCACCACAACATAAAAAAGATGTTGAGAGTGCAACATCATAGGAGTGTAAAGAAGAGCAATAAAGATGATAAGGGGGATGGAAGCTAAAACATATGAAGAATGGTTGCAGGAATTGAAAAGGACTAGGGGTAAACTGATAGCAGTGTTCCAATATTTGAGGGACTGCCATAAAGAAGAAGGGTGGGGGGTTTGTCAACCAATTCTCCAAAGCACCAAGGCAGGACAAGAAGCAAGGGATAGAAATTAATCAATGGGAGAACCAACCTAGAACTAAGGAGAAATTTCCTGACAGTTATAACAATTAATCAGTGGAATGACTTACCTCCAAAAGTTGTGGGTGTTCCAGCACTAGATGTTTTTAAGAAGAGATTGGACAACAGTTTGTCTAAAATTGTATAGGGTTTCCTGGTTGAGCAGAGGGTTGGACTAGAAGGTCCAATATCCCTTCCTATTCTGTTATTTTATTAGACCTGGCATGGTTCTTCAACTCACAAAAACTTCTGAGCAAGCTTCACTTTCTAATTTTCTAATTTTACAATAGCTTTTATTTCCTTCCAGAAAACAGTAATAGTGGGAGACTGGATGGATAAAGCACAGCCAGAGGAACAGTTGTGTCATCCCCACCAATTTACTTCAGTTCATTGCTTGGCTTTGATAATTGACAACTGCAAGACAAATGTGGGCAATACAATTGTTTTGAATCAAAACCTCAGGATCCTGTAGCAAAATCAATTAATCCTCATATAGAGGTACCCTGCTCTTCTTTTAATCCACAAACTTTGATACATTATTTTCTTATTTTCATCTTGGAATATAATTCTTAAAGAAAGCAGAATACATCTGCATAACTGGATAAATGAATTTGCAAACTACTGGCTATGAAGCCACTATCCACTGTAAATATTGGTTCTTCCAGGGCATAACGTATATCAGTGCAGAGTAAACTCCCATGGAATTGTTTTGAAAATATAAATAAATATGGAAAGAAAATGAATGTAAAAGCAAAAATATTGTATGCTTGGCTAAGATCTTATTAACACTGAGAGCTAACAACTTAAATCACCTCTGCAAAAAAGAAAAAAAATGGGATTCCAGAAAATGCAATCTCTCTAACATTATTGGATCATATTAAATCTAGTAAATCTAGTTAAATCTAAATCTAGTTAAAATCCTCTCAGAAAACCACTGCTCCCTTGGATCGTAAAGGATGACTCTCACTTGGTTCACTGTTGCTGTTTTGCATATTGCATGACTTTTAAAATATTACCAAATATTTCAGATTGTAATTTACTGGACTCATCTTTTTAGTCATTTTTAGAACTATTCAATGTAACATCACAATTTAATACTCACCTCAATACCTATTTCAAATCCACCACCAAGGCCAGCAATTCCTATGGCAGAAGGAGCAGACCAGCCTATAAAGGTAATTTAGAGAAACCTTGTGACTATGCTGACTGCTTAATTTTGATACAGTAAAAATCGAAAGATGGTAGAAACAGTTTTCAAGAATGCAGTGATATTCCAATGAGAACAAGAGAAGAAACAAAGCTTATCTAAGTATGAAAAATAGTAGAAAGCAAAGTCACCTCACTAAAACTTTGTTCCCTATACCATCTGTCTGGTAAACTCGCAAGATTTGTTTTCCTCGCCATGTACATGTATACATCTGAACCAGTGGTGAAATCTAAAATTTGTTACTACCAGTTCTGTGGGCGTGGCTTGGGGGGGGTAATGTGACTGGGTGGCGTGGCCAATTTTTTTTTACTTTTAAAACAATTTTTTACATGTAAAACCATGTAAAAAAATGCTTTCAAAATGTTCTATCCCCGTCTCACACACGCACACAAACAGACAGCCGGGGGTTAAATAAACTGGCAGACAACCAATTCTTCCGATAAGAAGCTTGGCAGCAACCCAGTAGCTCCTTGCCAAGAACTTTACTCATTAAACAAAATACACACAGTCAAGAATTGTCCAGTTTGTAAAAAAAATCCAAGGCCGATAATGTTGTTTCCAAAGATGCAGTGTGACTCGATAGTAGTTAGTTTTGTCCGTCACAGAGTCTGAATGACCACCTCACCCCCTTTTATACCCTGTGGGGTATGGTCCAGTGACTCAGCTTAATCTCTGGCATGCCTTTTCTTCTGCTGCGCGCACTTATCTCTGCGACGCTGACGAGGATCCAGCCAAGACTCATTTCCCTCATCACTGTCCACCTGTGGCTGCGTGGACGTGCTTGGCCCCGGCCCTATCTCTTGCCCTTCGGCAGACACCGAAGGCATTGCCAGAGAGGAGGGTCCTGGAGAGGGAGGCCTTGCCAACTCCTCTCCTTCACTCTCGCAGTCCTCTCCTGCCAATGACACAGGCTCAGGTAACGGAGCCACAACACAAAAGGCTCTGACGATCCCAGCCGAGTTGCCTGATCGTCAGAGGGTTTTTAAAAAACCCTCTGCCGATCAGGCAATTCGGCTGGGATCGTCAGAGCTTGGATCGTCAGAGGCATTTAAAAGAAAAAAGCCTCTGATGATCGCGCCGCTCAGCTGGGCATGGGCGGCGGGGGCAGGGATTTTTGCTACCGGTTCTCCGAACTGCCTGCCGCCATCGCTACATACTCACCCGAGCCGGTCCAAACCGGGAGCATTTCACCCCTGATCCAAACTACACTGTGTTGTTTCTCCATGTCATATAATATATATGGGTATATACATAATTTTGTATTTATTTATTTATTTATTTAGTCATGTTTATGTAGGTTATATTGGAGGTGGTGACCCTTTGAGAGCTGTGTGCAATGAAATTTCATTTTAATGTATGCCGATTAGTGTACATTCAAAGTGACAATAAAGTTATTCTAAGTTCTAAGCCTAACTCCATATCCACAAAAGAAAGAGACTGTTGTGTCAGGAGTATTTCTGGTAAGGACACAGGAAAGTGTGAAAGTATTAAAGGTAATTAGTTGTGTCCAACAAGGAACATAAAGGTACTAGCTTGGCCAGTGGTGGGTTGCCCCCGGTTCGGAAGAACCGGTAGTAAAACTGGTGGGAGGCTCTGCCCACTGACCCAGATGTCATCAAAGTTGATCTACGCATGCACAAAAGTGGGCGCGATGTGAACTGGTAGTAAAGGTAAGTAGAACCCAGCCCTGAGCTTGGCATATTATGAAAGTAAATGGACACATGGGATGAAAAGATGTAACCATCCTATTAATGCTCTTAAGAGGAAGGACAAGAAAGAGCAGGTACTTAAGATTTGTCTTGTGTACTAAATTAGAAAAGAAAAATTTACCTCCATTAGGCAGGCGAGCTAGTACTATCCCACTGCCTCCTCGAGCTGTTACCAAAAATCCTGCTTTGATAACGGACAAGATTGCAAGGCCTCTTGCTTTGGCAATTACATGGGCTACAAACAACAATACAATTAAAGATTACATCAGAGGTACTTTAAAAAAATATATTAACAAATGAACTTATATAGTCAATACCTGCCCCATTTTCTAGGTAGACGAAACAGGAAATATGACCAGATGAACTAACTCTCGTTATTTCTTTATGGTAAGTTTACATTAACAGAATCTTGCCAAGCCTGAAACTATTTCTCTCCCCCTCTACTTTCCCCTTTACCCAAGAAAACAGGGAGGATCTCTTCTGAGCCTTTAGCCCTATCCACATTCCTGCTGCAGGCTCAGCTGCCTTTTATTTGACAGTCACCTTGGCTGTGTCTCAATGTCCTGGGTAACAGTGTCATTCCCACATACCATTACAATATGCTGCTATTATGCTAACAACCAGTTGCAGACTTCCTGTTAGCAGTGAAGAGACCAATCACTTTGCTTTTTCATTAGAAAACTGTTAAGAGTTAGAATAGTCTCTACACCAAGGAAAATGGGGTTGAACTGATTCTAAATTGAAAATAATTCGGTTCTGGTAAAGGTTTTAACTCCATTCAATCTATCTCAATAAATCTTATTAAACAGAACTCTAAGAGTGCTGGAGGTATGGAGGAATTTTACTTTAGACAGCTACTGAAGTGCCTGAGAAAAGCTGCTTTTCTTCCAGGATCATGGGGCTGCCACAAAAATTCAGGAAAACCTGTCTTTCTTTTCAACAGTTGCAGGTACAGCCAACTCTTTTTGCCCCTGTATTCTCTGGATCACCATTCTGCCTTCATATCTAAGGCACTAACACAGCCCTAATAATTACAGCATTCTTGAGAAAGAACTGTCAACTCAATTTAATGATTCCTTGTCATTTTACACTGATTTGGGTTTTCAGTTTATGTAGAGCTGTCTTGATTATTATAGCTCTTTAGAAACTGAAGAGACTTGGTTCTGATTTAATTGAAAAAATAAGATTTGGATTCAGATTGATTCATTAGAGTATGCCATTAAATTAGTCATTTGTTTGTTTATTTTATATGGCCCGAATCCAATTTAACTCTAAATTTAACTCTAAATTCCCCATTTTAAGATGTTGTTACCAAAGTGGAAATTACTACTGTATGAGAATCAAAACTGAAAAAAATAAGATCTCAGAACTATCATGCTTGAAGTCAGTCTTTAAAAGAAACATATTTTCCCCAAAAGACAAAAAGTAGTTTTCTATTACAAAAAATTCAAGCAGAAAAGGCCATGGAAGGGCAAACTCTAAGATCCATTTATTTGTAAGTTTTAGTTGATGGTATAAAAATATTACAATACTGCTGCTGTGTAGTTTTCTCTTCTAGGTATTTTGAGACAAAATTTTGCTTCATGAACAAGAAGCAATGAGGTCTGTTATCATTAATATTCTGAATGTCATCTGAATATTCAGGACAGCCAGGGAAGCAGTTATCTTTTAAGCTAGACCACATTATTTCTAAGGGCAAATGGAATAGGAAAGGAAGTGTGCCATAAAAATATTATTTCACAGTATTTTTTCAAAATATTGTTTCAAATAATATTATTATATTATTATAATCCATCTGAAAGAAAGCCCAGTGTGATTGCAAAAACATTTTAAAAACCCTTCTTGATCTAGTGATACTGGGCCATTGGCTACTAACTGCTATCTTAGGTTTTATAGAAAGCAGGCCCCTTAAAATGTAACAACATATGCTTTTTACAGGCTCATAATCCGTTTCACAAGGTAAATACAGAATCCATGCCTGTATAATTTTTCAAATAAACTCAACAGGCAAAGACAAGGCCTTAGAGGTACTTTAAAAAAGAGAGAAAGCATAAATCAAGGCAGAACAAGGATTCCATAACATATAGAAATGAAAATCTCACTCTTTACCAGGTATGAGCTTGTCGGGACCATTTCTGGAGGTTATTTCAGTAAATTCTCTTAAAATCTTAGCTGCCTTTTTGGCTTCCGATTTCAAATTGGAAGGTATGGGATTGTTCACTAGAAGAGAAAAAAATAATATAAAAGGACATTATTACTAGTATAACATTGACAAGCGAAGCTGAAACCATCTTTCATTTTTTCCAGTGGTTTGTATGACTTGATTGGACCATAATTCTCTACCTTAGTCATATTCTGTGATGCTATTACAATTTCCTTCAATAGCTGCAATAATGGCAGAACTCAGGAAAACATTGCCCTCTCATGGAATGAGGAACTGAGGGACAAGCTCTTTCCAATCACATCCACCGGTCCCATCAGCTCATCTGGGATGGGTATGTTTTGCAACCTGTCAGCTAGGGAATGTTGTCTGGCTAGAAAAAAGAACACTTTTATGTCATGGCTCCCTCCCTTTGGAACATCATTCCTCAAAGATCAGATTAGCCTTGACTTTCAGGCCTTTGAAGTAGTCCAGAGAGGGAAGCGGTAACCATGAACATTAACAGTACATTTATTGTAAAGTTACGGTAACAGCATCTTGGAGGCCTGAAAGTACATCTCCCTCCCACCCACCTTTATAGTCCTAGAAATTAGGGAGGGTCCTTTTTTAGGCCTCTGCCATGCCACATTGCTTCTGAAAGCCCAGATGCCACTTCTCTGATTGTTGCTAGGGTCCTCCTCCTCCTGTCTCTCAAGGACATTTTCACAGACCATAAGACTGACCTTGCTGGCTTCCCATAAGGCCTTGAAATGTGGTTTAACCACTGGGCATGGGGAGCTGGAAGTATGGTAAAGAGAGCCAGTGCGGTCTGGTGGTGAGGGCACCAGGCTAGAAACCAGGAGATGGTGACTTCTAGTCCTGCTTTAGGCATGAAAGCCAGATGGGAGAATTTGAGCCAGCCACTGTCTCTTTCAACCCAGCCCACCTCACAAGGTGGTTGTTGTGAGGAAAATAGGAAGAAGGAGAGTTAGGTACTTTCACTGCCTTAAGTATAAAAAAAAATAGTAAAGGCAAGAAAAAAAATCAAATAAATAAATAAATACATGCACACATACATAAATACATACAGCCTGTGTAGCAGTTATAATATTGTTGCTGGGTATTGGAATACCTCAGCTATAGATTTTGTTGTATGGCTTTTATATTGTTTTAAATTGTTTTTAATCCTTTTTTTCTATTTATTCTGTTATTTTAAAAAATGTGATGACCTGCACTGAGTCATATATTTGAGATTGGTAACTATATAGATAGGTACAGATTGAAATAAATAAATAAATGAATGAATAAATAAATAAATAAATAAATAAATAAAATCTTAACACAGGAATATTTATTGATATTAAAGTAACGGGTTATTTTTTTCCACCATTGAGCTCAATAAATAATTGCTCTAATTTAATTCTACCAATTATCAAGAGAAAAATGTAGCAGGAAATACAAAAGCAGTTGTTCGGTTTCAGCAAGGAAATTTGCTAGCTGATGATTTTGAAATGCTTACTTCCCAGCTATTAAATTGAGAAAGATGATAATGAACAGGAAACCATATTTTAATGCTGCAAAAGATTTAAAACTTTAAAAAAAAATCAGTTTATAGTTAACAATATGACTAGTTACTCACTGAGTTTATTCTGAAAAGGGAAGCCTTTTTCTCATAAAACTAATCCAAATGAAATAAATGAAGTTCTGTTGTAAATTTTAATGATCCCATTAAATTCTAAAAATATTTAAGGATCTGTTATGATATTTTCAAGAACTTGTAACTAATGAATAGACTACCGCAACTTAAGACAGAAATAAACATTTGAATTGCAATATATATGCAATATATATTTGCTTATAACAGCTACAATTAAATACTGAGCTGTTCCCCCAGAGAAAGAGGGAAATGTATTTACATATATGTATATATTATGTGTTTTTTCATTTAAATACTGCCAAAATTGTATGACTCCTAGGGGTTTCTAATCAAAAAACAAAATGAAAATTAAATACAACTTGTTCAATTTTTATCTTAAACAAATTCAACATTGAAACATTAAAATAAACATTTATTTGTGTTGTCTTCACGCTAGGCAACATCAATTTCCAAAGCTCCACTATCTATAATAGCTGCAAGTACTATTTCGTAAGAGAGCTTGCAGCCGCCTCATGTGTCAATATTTAATAAGAGGGCAAATATTATTTTGTACTACCCAGTTTCTTTTGGTAACATGGGCTGCCACACAAGTTGGATTAATAAATAAATTATAAAAAAATTTCTTATATTATTGTCCTTTTATTGCAAAAGGCCAGGTTTGTCTTAATGAATTTACAATTACAATTAGTATTTGATACAGAGAGAGGGATCACATGAGATTAGTCACATTTTCACAAAGTTACTTCTAATTTACAGTACAGAATGAACACACTGTTTTGGAAAGTATAAGATCTGAGAAACTCTTAAGAAAGAGATGAGAGAGATAAAGGAAGGAGGGAGGGAAAGAGAGAAAGAGATGTCATCTCACAAGAATTTTTGCCCTGCATTATAATTAAACAAATACATGGTGCAAGACATGATTGGAAAAAAGCAATACACCAACAGTATTAAAAATACAAATAAAACTGCTCTTGCAAATTGGCATCAAATAAGTTAAATTTACTTAAATAATATATAGAGTTTCAAGCTTCTGAGTGGGGTGGTGGCCTAGTGGGAGAGATGGGGTGCCTCCCACTTGGAAGATTGAGAGTTCAATTATAGGTAATGGCAGATATGTCTCTCCTAGGGGCCAAAGAAAAAAATAGCTGCTGTATGCATGGCGTCAGGAAGGGTATCCGGCTAGTAAATCTTCAGCTCTATCCAGTTGCTTTGATTCTACCCTGAATTAAGGAATTACAGGGTTGGAAAAAGGGAGTTCACATCTAACACCCAAGGCACCCTATGAAATACTGCAAATAATAACGTACTGTCATACATCAAATATAATAGGTCCAGGAAATTACAGTACATAATTATTATATCATTTTCCCCATTGACCATTTGCAGTACCTCCACAGAAAATAGTCCATGAACCATCATAAGTATAAGTAGTCCTCAAGTTACAAACCACTTTCATTCAGCAACCAGAGTTACATTGGCACTGAACAAGTGGAACTTATAACTGACAATTGAGGTTGTGACTGTCGCAATGTTCCAGCAGTCTTATGATTGCAATTCAGGCACTTGGCAACCAGCTTACAATTATAAGGGTTGCAGTGTCCCATGGTCATGTGATCACCATGTGTAAACTTCCATGCTAGTTTCTCATAAGCAAAGTCAAAGAGAAACTTCCAAGAGGAAGCTGGTAGGAGGTTGCAAGTTACTCACAATCCTGCTTTTTCTCCTGAGGAGCCTGTGTCACATGGGGATCTTGTGCTGAGTAACACATACCCACCCATACCCTGTGGTGCCCACCCTTTTGGCACCTACTGATCTGCACCCGGTAGCACCCACAGGCCTGCATGTCTGGGATGAGCTTTCCCACATTGTGTTCATATGAGATCCTTGCTTAATAACCTGTGTGATCCTTGCTTAATGACAATAAGAACTGCCAGGATTGCCATCACTAGTCATATGGTATCATATTCATGACTGCATTCCTTAGCAATGGAAATCTGAGCTCCAATCATCACCGAACCCCTGAGGACTACATAATGACTACTACATTCTGACAGTTCTCTGCTGTGGTTAATCTCCCTTTTGCAGCTGTTTTCAAAAACATAATGAAACACCAGAGATAACAAAAAATGCCCCAAAGCTCACATTGTTGTTAGTTGTGAAGTCGTGTCCGACCCATCGTTCCTCCAGGCCTTCCTGTCCTCTACCTGAAGTCCATTTAAACTGACACCTATTGCTTCAGTGACTCCATCCAGCCACCTTATTCTCTGTCGTCCGCTTCTTCTTTTGCCCTCAATCATTCCCAGCATTAGGCTCTTCTCCAGTGAGTCCTTCCTTCTCATTAGGTGGCCAAAATATTTGAGTTTCATCTTCAGGATCTGGCCTTCTAAAGAGCAGTCAGGGTTAATCTCCTCTAGGACTGACCGGTTTGATCACCTTGCAGTTCAAGGGACTCGCAGGAGTCTTCTCCAGCATCGTAGTTCTAACACCTCAATTCTTTGGTGCTCAGCCTTTCTTATGGTCCAACTTTCACAGCCATACATTGCAACTGCGAAAACCATAGCCTTGACTATACACACTTTTTTTGGCAGAGTGATGTCTCTCTTTTTAGTATGCTGTCTAGATTTGCCTTAGCTTTCCTCCCTAGAAGCAAGTGTCTTTTAATTTCTTGGCTACAGTCCCCATCTGCGATGATCTTGGAGCACAGGAAAATAAAATCTGTCACTACCTCCATTTCTTCCCCATCTTTAACAAATAACATGCATTAATTATTTGTTGATTTAAAGCAGCACAGCCCTTCTGCACTGTACAATTCTTTCTACCTACATTCTATTGATAATCTTGTTCCCATTTATTGTAGAAAGAAAAGTTGAGAATAATCTTAGAAACACTCATTCTATTAGTGTATCCTTCTACGGCTTGCTTTCTCTGTGATCAAAAGACCATATCCATTTTTTAGAATTGCAATTCATTTATATATTTATCAACAATGAGGTGGAGACTAGATTATTTGAGATATTCGTAAAGATTTCCTAATTAATATTGAAGATGACTATTAGAATCAGGGCCGGATTTAGATGAAAAGAGGCCCTAGGCTATTCCATTTATGAGGCCCTTTCACCTATAGTGAAAGTGTAATTTTAATTTTGCTAACAATTTGAATGTAGGCCCCTCTTGATCTTGAGGCCCTCTCTTGATCTTGAGGCCCTAGGCTGAAGCCTAGTTAGCCTATAGGAAAATCCGGCCCTGATTAGAATCTGAAAGTTTACTGAATGTATTAATAACATTTATCATCCAAACAGCTAAATAATTCTGCTCTCAGAAACTAAAGCACCTGGTTTTGTCCATTCCATCTAACACAGTTATGATCTCTCTGGGAAATTGCTACAATGGAGCCATATCTGTGGGCACACAAGTGTTGCCCTAGCTCAGCTCCAGCGTGCATGCGGGCGCCGGCCAGCTAATTTTTGGGCCTTCCAGGCCCACCGGAAGTCGGGAAATGGGCTGTTTCCAGCCTCCAGAGGGCCTAAAATTTAACTGGTAGCCAATGCAGTCATGTGAAATTAAAAATGATATGCTACTCATAAATATTCCTTTAAAATTATCCACAAAATTATAAAACATTGAAGCTATCAGCAGCTTCCGCATTAGGAAAAAAAAGTTACTTGAACAAAGGTAAGTTTTAATAGCTTCTACTAACTCAGAAAGGCAGGAGGAAAAAGAACCCAGAAACTTAAAAACACATACTTCTATGTGTTACAGAAGATAAATGTATTGTATACAGATGGCTTCCTGCTTGCCTGTTATAAATTAATGAAATCTTTCCATTGTAGTCTTGAGTCTTCTGCTAAGAAGCCAATTCCTAAACAAAGGCTAGGTATCTGGAGAATAGAGTTTTACCTTGCCTAGGCCAAGGCTAATAATATTTTTAATATTTTTAAATTAAATTCAACTCTTCAACTATCTTCAAGTTTAACCTCATGTAGTAATCTGAAAAGACTGTAGTCGAAGCATAAATGATGTAACAATTTAGAATATAGGATATAAGTGTTGTAGAGTTGGACCTTTCTCCTAGTGTGTGGGTGAAGAGTTATAGCTTTTATAATAAACAGCAGCTGAAGCTTAAATGGATAAATGCCTAGAGCCTAAATAAGAAAACAACTGGGAAAACTGACCCTCTGGAATGAATTACCCACCGAGCTCTGGACAGCCCCTGATCTCCATTCCTGCCGCAAAGTTCTTAAGACCTGGCTTTTTACTCAAATCACCTGATCTGGTTGGGTTTTTTAGTTAACTGTAGGATTTTAAATTGGATTTTTAATGCTATTTAGTGATATTGTTTTTATTGTCATTTTGTACTTGTGAGCCGCCCCGAGTCCTTCGGGAGAAAGGCGGCATATATATTTTAATAAAATAAAAAATAAAAAAATAAAACTGGGAAAACTTGAAAGTATCTTAACAATATCAACCCCTTGGGTCATGTGACCCAAGAATTGAAGGAATTGAAGAATAGAGGGGTCTTCTGCAGAGTTTTGATCAGTGGTGGGTTGCCCCCAATTTGGACCGATTCGCAAGAACCAGTAGTAAAACCGGCGGGAGGCCCCCCCACTGCCCCGGATGTCATTATCAGCGATCTGCGCACGCGCAGAAGCTTTTGCGTATGCACAGATCCCATTGCGAACCGGTAGTAAGGTAAGTAGAACCCACCTCTGGTTTTGATCCACTTCTAAACTGCCTCTCCTAAACAAATACGTTGGGGAATATTTTCCCCCTCTGCAGTACTCTTATCCCGATCCAACAAATTTTTAGATGTAATTATTCTTTTCCCCATTTCCCCCTATTGTTTTTAGAAGCAGATAAGCTGTGTCTTGAATTCTTTATTCTTAATCTTTTTTCAATATTCAACTGACTGAGAAGACTAAAAAAGGATAATAAGAGCTCTTCCAGACCTGCTTTTTGGCAAGGATATATGAAATCCCACCATGCCCAGTTCACCTTAGTTTTGTCTATAAGTTTTGTCAACTTATAACGGGGAATAGTTTATTTAAAGAACTGCATGCCATTAAAAAAAAAAGTCTGTTCTTCTGGTTTCTATTAGTCTGCCCTCCGTTCACTGCCTGAAACAAATGAGGAAAGAAAAATTGGAGCAAGGGATTATTGTCTATCTGGATTTTCAAGTGTCGAGAGTATTTACCTAATTACTAACCATAAGCATTTTTAAGGCTACTTCAGGGTCCAACACCACAGAAATTAACACAACTGCCGGTACATCTCCTAACTTACAGGTTGGATAACTAGGGTCAATATGAATCGTTTATTTACACACACATACTTTAGTTATTTTTTATAAATAACTCAAGACAATGAACATCCTTCCTCCAATTTTTCCCACAACAACCACCCTATGAGATGGGTTGGGCTGAGAGACTATAACTGGTCCAAGGTCACCCATCCGGCTTTCATGCCTAAAGTGGGACTACAACTCAATTTCCTGGTTTTTAATGTGGTGCCTTAACCATATACACAATGTAACTAATGTGATGTTTCACTAATGTGATGTCTCTTCTCAACAGTTTCTACTGCTGATGTGTTTTGGGAATTGATAGTTAATATTATAAAGTGAGAAGTTTTCAGTTACTACTGAAAAGTAGTACTTTGGGTACTACTTGGATATTATTTGGGTGGTACTTTAGGTGCTACTTTTGCCATAATTTCTGGCAAAAAAAATCCCCCCTCCCATTAGCACAAAGAAGATACTGACCTAGATTACAGTTCAGTTGTAAAATTTATTCTAGTAACTCTTGGCTACTTCCAAAACTATATTTTGATTATAAAACTCCAATCATGGTTCTTCTTTTTAGGTATTTAGGAGAGCAGCGTTAGTTTCCAGTATCCCAAAATCAGAGATCTATTAGTATCTTTTCAGACTAATATGCTATAGACGCTTTCTCCTTTTACACGTGTATGCCTATAAAACTATTTCCCAACAATTTTTTTTTTATTTTATCACATAAATTACCAGGAGAAAAAAAATCAATCAGCCTGGGTGCTCTTCAATCCCATTTATCACAACAAGAGTAAACCAAACATAATTTTACCTCAGCAGGTGGCAGCACAGGGTTTGCTCTGTCTGGTTTACTCATAGCTCAAGCATGGTTGGGCGTGATTAGTATTTGGATGGGAGAGTATCAGGAAAAACAAGGGCTATAGGCTAAACTAGGAAGTCAAAAAACAAAAACAAAAACAAAACCATATCCCCATCCTGAAATAAAGCCACAGCAAGCCGCATGGAAAGACCATATATGTGTCGGAGTCATGTTTATCTCTGTCCTTAAAATATATGTTTATTAGATTCTTATCCCGCCTTTATAATTCAAATAAAGAAGTCGCATCATTAGTATAATCTCAAAGATTATGAAGGAGATATAAAGGGTTTCGTTTTAGCTGGGGTGGATCTATTTTTCCCACACGTTGATTGTAAGCCCAATACATATACAAATACATATTCATTACAGACCAATACAAATACAGCAGGTTTCTAACAAGGCAATCCATAGATGGGTCTATGCAACACAAGGAAGAAATGAAGGCAGATGCGGACCCTCCCGGACTAACCCCACAACCTTTCTCAAAATCCCAATATAAAAAAACCCTCTCCTTCGCAGATCAGCCTTGGCCAGATACTCACTTCTGCCGGGCGTCCCTGGCTGGAAAAGCTCCTCTTGACTTAAAAGCCACGCGCTCACCCACGCGAGAAAAGGAACACGGTCATATCCCCACCGAAACCCTTCGCCTGGGCAAGACGGAGGCTATTGCGGCAGCAGCTAGTGCTGCTACTGCTGCTCACCTGAAGCAGGTGCATTTGGGAGGGGAATAGCTGACTTCCCGAGTGCCTGATTTTTAGAGGGGGGAAAAATGAGCGAAGGAAACCGCGCGGGTTGACGGACATTTTGCTAATACCTTGGGCTTCTGGTTTGAAATTCTACGTATACCCTATCCAAAGAGGATCACCAAATGTCTCTGGTCCTGACATTTTAAATTAATATCCAGGCAATGGACGAAGACGGACCTGGCCGTTGCCGTAAAGCGGCGAAAAGAGGCTTTACGTCAGTTCGAGAACGGCTTTGTCCGCTTTTCCTTCGCTCATTGCTTTCGGGGTTTCGAGGGATCATGGCGGCGGGGGAAATGAAGTCCGTTTTATTCGTATGTCTGGGTGAGTGAGTGGCTTTTTTTTTTTTTTAGGGAAAGAGAGGTGGAGTGCATCGGTTGGAGAAAAAAGCAGGGAGGGGGGGACATTAGCTATTGGTCTTTCCCCCCCCTTTTTTTGATACAGGGACTAATAAAGAGACGAGAAAGGAAAGATTAGAAATGAAAAGAATTTTCATTTACTTCTTTTCCCTCTTTCCCCCGCTGTTCCCAAGAATGATAAATAAGCACCATTATTTTCAATTGCACATATTCTTTACTTCTCATCTCTCATCTTTGCTGCTCCTTCCTTGCATTCTTCCTGAGTTGCTAGATTGCATCTTTTGCCTGCGTCCCCGGCATCGGCATTTACATGTACAGTACAGCAGCAGAAGGGAGGGCTGCTGTTTTACCCTAAAACTCAGTTTACCGGCCCTGCGATTCACGAAGATGGGGAAATAACTGTAAAGGCGGGAGGATAAACTGTTTACTTTGGCGAGCGTGCATCATTTCTGCAGAGGGGAAACTGTACTTGTGACTGCATTGCTTTCCTTTGGATAGCTTCAGAATATCTGATGAAACCAGACACGTTTTAGTCCATTAGCTTCATAATTTTATCCACTTAATATTTTTTAAAATCTCACTCCCCCCCCCTTTTCACTTCCCGTGCCCTTTTGCAGTTAATTTGGGATGCTGTAAATAACAATAAGCAATATGAAATGACTCTGCTTGCATGCTATGTAGACACTTCTCTTCACTTTTGCTATTCCATTTTTTTTTATTTTTTTTATTTTTTTGGAAAAGCTGGATGATGGATTCACTAAGGCAGCTATGACAGGTACTGAAGGACACAAGTCATTAATTGAAACAAGTGACTTGGATTTTTTAAAAAACAGCAAATAGTATTTAATTCATAATATAAACAATTATCTAAAAGATCAATTCTATTTCTTGTTTGGGTTTGTACAAATGGGGCTCCTGTCATTCACAATTGAGGCAGTGAAACTTGGGACAGCTATAAACCGGAACTGTTAAAGAAGATACACCAATCAGTTCCTTAAAGAAAATATTTAAAATGCCTAATATGTATTGCCTAAAAGCATGTTTACTTATGCCTACAGATATGATTACTTTTATAACAAATGAACCACTGGGTTTATAAAACTACTTTTATAACAAATATACAACTGCAACAAAAAGAAACCTTAATATGCAGATAAATTGACAGAATAAAGATTCCTCAGTCGATATTAACACTTTTAACTGATTCTTGGTAATACTAGCAATCATTGGTAGATGTTAGTTTAAGCATCTTTGCAAATGCCACTTTGAGCCCATTTTAAGTGTCTTAAAATATAACTTCACATACATGGAAAGGTGAAGCAGAGTTGGCAGACATCTGCATTCTAATCTATAATCCACAACTCAGAATAATGAGCATCTGGAGTGGGGGCATTGGAAGCAAGTGATAAAATGTACATTATGATATCCTCCTTCAAATGCATATACATATTTGAATCAGATGCTGGGACCCAAGTATCACAGCATTTACATGGTGATTTTACCATATAGAGTATGTGTCAGTATTTTGACATGATTATGGTTTGCTATAGTTACCACTACTTAGAATTACTTTCTGGGACTTCATTACTATAAATTTGTGATTGTTAGAGTGCAGTTCCGTCACTCAAAGAATTTACTAGTGACCATTTCAGATGCCATTGTGTTGCTTGAAATATTTACCTGTACTGTGAAGACTTTATTAAAATGTTCTCTATTCAATTTGTCTTGTTCGTACACCATGGTTTTGGTGATCTGTTACCCTAAATCTGCAGGAAATTAGATACAGTTATAATCCTATGCATGGTTACACCAAGGTTGATCATGTTAAATTCAGTAAAAATTTACTATCAGTCTGTAAAGGTTAAGGCTCAAATTTCTGTTATCTCTTTATGGCAGGAGAGTCATGACTCATTTAATTTCTGATAATTGCATTAAAGAACATGCAAGTAAATTTCTATATAGTCACAACTCTGTTTAACTTCTTTTTGAATATTTGCAGAACAGAAAATGAGTTAATGCAGTGGTTTGGTTTATATTATGTGTAAACGTATTGAATAAATCCCAGTGGTTTATTCCATATATTAAGTACCATAACATTTAGCAAGCCATGTATGAGCTTAAATAATTTGTCATCAAACCAGCAAATATATTTTAAAGTGCTGTGTGATCCCAGTAAGTGAATTAAATTTAACCAGCACTTTTTTAGTTGCAGCTATTCTGTACTAAGTACAACCAGATCTACTAACTAATTTTAAAAGTACTGTCCTAGTAATTTTATAAACACACCATGCTTTTGAAACCAGATAGTGTAGGACAGAATACCGTATAGGACACCTGTCACTTAGTACTTTGTTGAAGCACCTTCGGCAGCAATTACGGCCTCAAATCTTTGGGTAAGATGCAACAAGCTTTGCATGCCTGGAATGGGGGATATTCTGCCATTCTTCCTTGCAAACCCTCTCAAGCTCAGTCAGGTTAGATGGCGACCTCCAGAGATGGTCAGTAGGGTTCAAGTCAGGGGTTGGCTGGGCCACTCTAGGACATTCACAGAGTTGTCCCTAAATTACTCCTGTGTTGTCTTGGCTATGTGCTTAGGAATGTTGTCATGTTGGAAAGTGAACCTTTAGCCCAGTCTGAGGTCCTGAGTGCTGTGGAACAGATTTTCATTGAGGATATCCTTGTACTTTGCTCCATTCAGCTTTCTCTCAACCCTCACCAATATCCCAAACCCTGCTGACGAAAAATACCCCCACAGCATGATGCTGCCACCACCATGCTTCACTATTGGGATTGTATTGGGCAGTTGATAAGCGGTGCCTGGTTCCTCCAGACATAATGTTTAGAATTGAGGTCAAACAGTTCAATCTTGGTTTCATCAGACCAGAGAATCTTGTTCCTCACAGTCTTGAGAGTCCTTCAGGTCCTTTTTTAAAAACTCCAGAAAGGCTAGCATGTGTTCTGCACTGAGGAGAGAGGCTTCTGTCTAGCCACTCTACCACAAAGCCCAGATCAGTGGAGGGCTGCAGTGATGGTTGTCCTTCTTGAACTCTGTCCCATCTCCACACAGAATCTCTGGAGCTCAGTCAGAGTAACGATTGGGATTTTAGTCATTTCTCTTACTAAGGCCCTTCCCCCTGATTGCTCAGTTTGACCGTGCGACCAGCTGTTAGAAGAATCCTCATTGTGCCAAACCTCTTCTATTTGAGAATTATGGAGGCCACTTTTAGGAACCTTCATTGCAGCAGAAATTTTATTGTAGCCTTACTCAGATCTGTGCCTTCCAATAATCCTGTCTCCGAGCTCTGCAGGCAGTTCCTTTGATCTCATAGCTTTTGCTCTGTTACAGTATGTCACTTGTGAGGCCTTCTATAGAGAGATGTGTGCCTTGCCAAATCATGTCTAATCAATTTAATTTACCAAAAGTGGACTCTAATCAAGGTGTAGAAACATATAAGCAACGATCAAGAGAAATGGAAAGCACCAGAGCTAACTTTCAAATGTTGTTACAAAGGGTATGAATAGTTATGCCAATGTGATATTTCAGTTTTCTTCTTTTTAATAAAAAGAAAATTTAATAAATTTACAGACATTTCTAAAATTCTGTTTCACTTTGTCATTATGGGATACTGAGTGTAGATTCAATAAGTTTAGAATCAGGCTGCAGCATAACAAAATTGAGAAAAGTCAAGGAGGTCTGAATACTTTCTGAATGCACTGTATAAATTAATTAAATATTTCCTACATTAGAAAAGGAAGACCTAATTCGAAAGGAACTTGGTGGCTTTCTCCAGGCCAGGAAAGATTAGATTTGTTTTTAGCTCAAGCCGAAAGGAGACAAGTTTGCCTTTTTCTTTTTCCTCATACCTGCCTACATATCGTGTTTTCCTGAAAATAAGACAGGGTCTTATTTTCTTTTGACACCTCCCCCCCAAATAAGGTCTTGACCTTATTATCGGGGAGTCTTATTATTTTGGGGGTGCAGGAGGCAGCGAGTGTGGGACTGGATGTCCCGTTGCTACCATTGCCTCCCCTCCCTGTTTTTCACGCCGGCTGAGCGGCCCAACACGTCCTACCTCACCCCAATGGCAACAACTGTTTCCCTTCCCCAACGTCTCTTTATTGAGAGGGGTGGCAGGTGGGGCGAGGGAGAAGCAAGACGCGTGGAGCGAGACATGGCTCCCCTTGCCATCTCTTCTCCCTCCCTCGCCGGGCATGACAGGGCTCCTGCCCCTCGCTTAGCCACCCGCCGCCTTTAGGGATGCAATTTGGGAGTGGCAGGTAGGGCAGGTGAGAAGCGGGACACAGGTCTTACCTTTCAAGCTCCGTCACTTTCCTCACCATTGTGTCCAAGGAATCACGTAAAAGAAAACCTTATCGCGAGTTCGAGAAGTTTGATTGAACTCGCGAGAAGGCTTTCTTTTACAGCATGTTTCCCTGGACACAACGGCTTATTATCTGGACATGTTTTATTTTCGGGGAAACACGGTATGTCTCATGACTAGATATTTTTTTCCATATATGTAAAATTGTATTTTAGAATGATTGGACTGAATCTTTATTTCTACAGGGAATATTTGCCGGTCTCCCATAGCTGAAGCTGTTTTTAGAAAACTTGTAACTGAAGAAAACCTTGAGAACAAGGTAAACTTGATTTTTATTACCAGTACTCAAGCCATTTTTCTGCTAGCATTATTTAAATAAATTGCTTTGTTTTTCTATAGTGGAGGATAGACAGTGCAGCAACCTCTACATATGAAATAGGAAATTCCCCAGATTATCGAGGCCAGAATTGCATGAGAAACCATGGCATAATTATGAATCATATTGCCAGGCAGGTACTGTACCCATATTTTTTTTAAATGTCTGTCTGCCTATGTTCTTATTGTTTGCAGTGGTTAATAGACAGTGGTGCTGTTTCTGACTGGAATGTGGGACGCTATCCAGATCCAAGGGCTTTAAACTGTCTGAGAAATCATGAAATTGAAACTGCTCATAAAGCACGACAGGTAGAAAGAAATGTCTCTCTCTCTCTGTGTATGTGTACTTGGGTGCATGTGTTTTCAGAAAAAACGGGCATACCTGCATGGCACAACTGTTTTGTGTTCTGTGCAAGGGTGGATAAAGCATTATATATTGAATAATCAGTGCAACATCTTCGTAAAAATGAAGCTATAGATACTGACAACACTGTAACCTGATTCACTTCTGAACGTGGGGTTTTGCTACAGATCCTTATTGGGAATGTCATTGGCCATTGGCCATTTCCTCAGCTTGTACATTTGGACTTATCTTTGCTGGGTTTACACATGCTGAATAGGATGGCATCCAGGACAGTTTAAAAGTTAATGATTTTTAAAAATGGAATTTTAAAAATTTAAATGGAGTTTTTTAATTAATCTCAGATTTTAAATTGAATAAAATATGTAATCGTGAAAATTGAATTATATTTTACTTTATACAAAGTACTTTATACAGATAATTCTCAACTTAGGATGGTGCTGTAGGAAAGAACTGCCACATGAACAAAATTTGGGCACAGGACCTTGCCTACAGTTACGATCATAGGAGTTCTGCAACTCCCCCATGATCTCCCTTGCATCTCAGCTGCCTTACCTAGTCAACTATTGAGCGCAAACCTACTACAGCCAGGGAGGCCTTGGTTGGCTATGGGATCCACCAGCATGTGCAAAGCATCACAATTAACTTCATTGTTTTTCTTCAGCTGCTGATAAGCATGGCCAGCCTATATCCTTTGGTAGGAAGGCATAGCCTTCCTACCAAAGCTGCCTCATGCCATTCTCCAAGCAGCATTAATTAATACAGGCAGGGAGGCTGTTCTCATGGGGCCAGCCCACTCCATGATTGCATGGCCCTCTGTGCTCCCCCCAAAGGCCACAGAGCCAAGTTTTGACCCCTTTGCGGAAGGCCAGGAGCATGGGGGTTGGCCTCTGTGGGCAAGGTGTTCCATAATGCGGGGACATTGGCAGAGAAGTTCTTCCTAGATCCCACCAGCTAAATTCTTTGACTTACAGGGGCTGCAGCATATCTCCCCTGCCTGATCGAGTGGGATGGGCTAATATAATGGGGCAAAACTGGTTCTATAGCAAACATAGTGTCATCACACAGATGGCTTTATTTGCATATTGGAAATCTATTAGACATCAAGTCCATTATATCAAGTCCATTGAATTGAGATGCCACTGTACTTACCATTAAAGAAAGTTTTCAGTTAAATTCTTTTCATAAAGAATAGGAACTGTATGCAATTATTTGTTGTGGGTGTTTGGAGAAAAAAAGAACAATCGTTACCAGTTTTTATATATTGTACTAGAATCTTTGGTTCTTTCTGGCTGGCATTCTTGAGCAAACAACAAAACATTGCTTCTGGTTAAAATAGCAATCAATTGCATTTTTAACTGTTCATAAATAATCTTATTTTTTCTTCTTTAGTTAAAAATTGAATATATCTTCTGAATTTTAGGTTACAAAAGATGATTTCCTGTCATTTGATTATATTCTTTGCATGGATGAAAGCAATTTAAAGTAAGTGGTAAAAGCTGTGAATTTTGCTAATAAATGTTTGCATATCCAACGTACTTCCTTCATATCACTTAAAGGAAAACCTTGTGAAATTCAGTGTTCTTCCTTCTAAATAGACGTGTGTAAGATTATTTAAAATGTACAAACATATTAGAACGGAACATGAACCTGTGAAAAACAGGGGTCTTTCTTTATATCCAAAGCACTGACATACAGATCTCAGCAACCACTTTTTTCTGCTGTGTCTCTAATGTTACCTTCGTCTTTTCGGATAGCTTCAAGTAGTCCTCAGGATTCCAGTTTTAAGTAGTAGCATTTTCCCCATGAAGCAGGTTGTATACCAGGACAGTTTTACAGTGGGTTCAGTTTCACTGGCCATTCTGCTGGAGTCACCGTGATGTGAAACCTAGCATCTATGAGCCACTTTAGCTGGCAGTAGCACGCTCTGTCATCCGCCCCCCCCCCCAATATTTGAGCAATGTCAGATGTTTTAATTTGAACAGCAGGAAAGTCCAGTGTATTCACACAGACTCTCCCCTTTACCTACTACCCCTGTTTCCCTGAAAATAAGACATCCCCTGATAATAAGCCAGATTGGGCTTTTGAGCGCATGCGCTAAAATAAGCCCCCCTGAAAATATTTAAACACATGCATAGCCAGTACCCGCCATTTCCTCTGGTTAGGGTTAGGGAGACAGAGCTGGAAATCAGGTAAAACTGCAAGAGAAACCCCATCTTGCTCCATGTGCCCCAAAATAATAAGACCTCCCCGAAAATAAGGCCAAGTGCTTATTTCGGGGTTCAACAAAAATATAAGACAGGGTCTTATTTTCAGGAAAACACGGTACTTCTCCAGGCAGAGAGGCCTTGATTAGTTCAAACTAAGTTGACCACTACCAATTCCCTCTCTACCACTTCATACGGCACCTCCCTTCTGCCCTGCCTGTCAGCAATAACTGGTTTGGCACTCTCTGAGCTTTAAATCCGCATCCAGTAGAAGCCTCTGTGAACGGACTTGTGCAATGCACGTGCACAAAGCCAGAGTGAATTTTAACAGATCGCTAAATCCATCAGCCTAGCCATCTGTTAGAACTCATCCTCGGTCCCATCCCACATGAATGAGTAATAAATGTTTTCCTCATAGCTGGTGATGCTTGATGGATCAGGAAGGAAACAAAGCTGGGGGGAATTACTTTGTCCCTTTCCTTAACATGTGCTCAGGGCAAAATAAGGTCCTAGCCATTTGGCAGAGTTACGCCTGTGGTAGAATATTAGGCAAATATTATGCTGGTTAAAGGACTGGTGGATAGTACTTTAACTTGGCTGTGAGGAAAAGTTATAATACTGCTCCATTGCTTCATCTCCAGAACTTTGATTGCAATTCCATATTTGACAGTCAAACTGACATCCCTTAATTGCAATTTCCCTGTACAATTCAAACATTTTCCCTTGCTTTAGGATTCTCTCTTTTACATCAAGCCAAGGGCTGGATCATGAATTAATTAGGGCTTGCCTACTTTAAATGAGCCATTATGACAATTATCCTTTTTGGATAGTTGCAAGAGGTTAGCCATTTCCTACTGGCAGGTATCCGGAGGAAGATGCAGCAACATTTTTACATGTGATTTTTCATCCCATTTTATTGGCTGAGAGTAAACTAAGATATTTGTTGCTTTCCCCCCAGTTTTTCTTCCAAAATGAATTATGAACATTTCAATTTCTACTTGGCAATATGCTTAAAAGCCATAGAAAATTCCTCACTGTAGATCTCATTGTGAATAGATGCCTTTGTTATTAGAGGAGTCTATTACACCGTTCCAAGAGCAGGTGTTTCTTTTATATGCAGCAATACTGATAAAAAATATATGCTTTACTTAATAATAATGGAAAGTTAACTAATCTTTTTTAGTGACTTGAAAAGAAAATGCAATCAAATTAAAAATTGCAAAGCTAAAATTGAACTTCTTGGTAGTTACGATCCAGAGAATCAGCTTATTATTGAAGATCCATATTATGTAAGTATTTTCTCATTTAATCTATTTAATTATTGTTATTTGTAAGAAAAAAATTGTTTGTAATTTGGGATTCTGTATTTTCTCTCTTTTTTATTTTCCACCTCCAGGGAAATGATGAAGATTTTGAAACTGTTTATCAACAATGTCACAGATGCTGTAAAGAATTTTTGAAAAACCCTCATTGATGTGGTTATGTTTCTGAACGTAAATAATTCTATGACATTAGTGCAAAATCTCAATTGACATTAAACTATCATAGTGTGCCTCTAAAATAGATACATTTGTGCATTCTTAATTTTAATTTTTGTGGTATACTGAATGGGTATACATTATTTGAGAAGATGTTTTTTCAAAATTAAATTGATTTTATCAAATATATGATGAATGAATATTGTGCTGCTCATCTATATAAGAAAAAAAACCTGTTGGTACTCAACTAAGTGAATAAATATGTGTAATTCCATATACAGGTAGTCCTTGACTTGTGACTTGTCTCTGGGGGGTGCTCGACACAGGCCACGTACAAATTGTAGGGGTACTATGGCGTGCCACAGATGCAGGGAGGCCAGGGAAAGGAGCTGTAGTTGATGACCCTGCAGTGCAGCGAAACAATGTGACACTCAGAAAGAAGCTTTCACAGTGAGGCATAAAGCAGCCTTCCCATCATGAACCCTGAATGCCTGGGAAACTACAAACCAGCTGCCCTCACTGCCCTGCCCTGCCCGCCCCATGCCAACTGACTTTCATCAGTTTTATCAAAAAGATGAAAAATGCTAAAGGCAGCAGCTCAGCTGCAGTGTCTTAACATACCTCTTTTCCCATGCTCCTGGGCAGGACTGGAACACTGGAGCTTGCTTCGTGTTGGGAAAAAAATCTTGCCTCACTTTGCCCTGGCTCTGTGAAGAGATCACAATTTCCCGAGGCTGCGCAAAATACTCTCAATTCTAAAAGCTAAAGTTTCAGCTGGCTTTAGCATTTTTCCATGCAAAGAGTCAGACTGGGCATGCCTCATAAGCTTGATAGTTTTAAGAAGTTTCAGGTTGACTTTCCTGGGTTAAAACCATCAAGCACACATTCCTAGAGGAGATCAACACCCTTGGAGAGTCCGGGGCATTTGGAACTTCCAATGAGGCAGCTGCTTTGTGCCGCACTGTGGAGGCTTCCAGAGTGTTCGGCCCTGGGGAGGGCTGATTGCTTTGTCCTGCACTATTCAACTTCCCTGGCATTTAAGGTCATAGATGGGGGCAGGAGAGAGAGGCAAGTGGAAGGAACTTGAATTTTGATCATGTGACTGCAGGGAGGCTGCAGTGGCTCTAACTTCAAGCATGGGTCATATGTCCCTTCATTCAGCGTGGTTGTAAGTCGACTGCCTACATACAGATATATAACAGTTCATTTAGTGACCATTTGAAGTTATAATGGCACTGAAAAAAGTGACATGACCTTTTTCATATGTATGACCTTGCAGCATCCCTATGGTCACATGATTGGAAATTGCAGTGATTCATTTAACAACTTTGGCAAGAAAGGTTGTAAAATGGAGCAAAACTCACTTTTGGGCTCAATTGTGGTCATAAGTCGAGGACTATCTGTATTATAGATACATAAACATTCTTGGATGTGTAAATGTGGCACAGAAGTCTGTTTCCTGTTGCTATTATTAACTATAGTGTTCTAAACATTTTTTTCACATCGAAACTTTATAAATACTTACCTGTACATTTTTATTTGTCAATTGCTAGATGTCTGAAAACTATATTTTGATATCCTTTCATCACTATATACAAAATATAGATGTGGAGGTGAGCCAGAAAAAAATAATAATATAGGAAAGATTTTATGATATTCAGCCATATAAAATGCTGTGATGCAAATATTTGCAGTTCTGCATTAGCACTGACAAAATAATTCCCTGTTGGTATACTCTTTTTTTAAAAGAATACAAATTGAAGTAAATAATTGCTTATTTATTTTTAAACTTAAAATAGCTTTAAAGGCTATTGACATGATGTTTGAAAAAAGTACTATAGCATTCTGAAGTAAGATAATAATAGATTATGTGTTTCAAGTTCTGATCAGTTCCTTTACAGTTCCAGCACTAATAGAAATAAGAGTAGACTATGTAAGGGTAAACTTCCTTCATTTCCATAATATGAAAAAACTAAAAAAATTATGTTAGGAAATCATTACATTCTTGTTTGTTACACAAATGTAACCTTATGGATCCTGGTATATATTTGTGGAAGGCATAAAATGATTGAGGGAAGGATTTAAAAGCCTAGAGAGTTTGTAGTTTTCCAGTGGAAATAAAACCACTACCCTCCCCTCACATTTCATGCCTCTTTTTACTGATCTTCCTTATGACATCATTGGTTTCTTTCTTTTCTTCACTTGCTTCCTCCTACTTTTGAAACAACATTGTTTATGGATGCTTCAAGATTAAGCCAAAGAGAAGTTGTTAGACAGAAGCAGGCAGCGAAGTCCATAGTAAGCTGGCAAAGATCTGCTTACTAAAAAAGCACATACTGAAGGATGTTGACATAAACCAGTGATTCTATGTAAATATTGTATGAGTCATTTCTACTGATTATTGTCAGTACATGCAGTGTAATATTGTGTGGTTAATTAATTGTTTAAAAGATAACAGAGGATTGTATGCAATTGTTTGCCAAAACTTTCATCTTCTACTCAGAGCATATGAATTTTGCAATTATTCAGAGTGTTGCCATAATCCCTTTTTAGCCAAGAATCCTTATAAACACTGCGTGGAGAAGTACAAGCCAGCACTATTTTCCCCCTTCTCTTTTAGAGTTAGTTTTTGTGTGTTTTCAAGTCTTCCCAAAAGAGGAATCTTCATAGGCCTGTAGTGGATTCGCTGCTGTTCGTGTTACCTTCTGGATTTGTCATTTTTAAGCCATAATTCCTATTAATAAGACACTTTGCTTAAGTTCTATTAAAAAATACTCTAGGGACCTGTTTTGCTTTCATGAATGTCAGGTTTTATTTCAAGCAAATTTACAGACTTCATAATTAACTTCCAGGTTTGTGATTAGTATGTGCAAGATCAAATAAAATAGTGAAAAAGCTATTTTACTTCTTGTAAAATTTTCATTTTATGACCTAACTATGGTAGTAACTTTATAATTGTATTTTCAATTATATATCATCTCTATGCAAAGAGATGATATATGAAACCTGGTCCTGATCATTTACAATGTTTTTCTTTCTATGGTAACTGTTGATTTACCACTTAAAAATAAGACTATATTTTTATATCACATATTAAGGATATTAAAAATGAGTGTTTTGTATATTATCCTTAACTTGACTTTTTAATAGCAAAATATATTGTTAGCGAGGAACAATATATTTGAACAAGGTTTATCTTATTCTACATAAGTTAATTGAACACAAAGGGATTTTTCAGAAAATTTGACATTTGTGTTTCATAGCCAGCAAACTTTGGTAATTTTAAAAAAAATTAGAATGATTTGATCATAACGATTTTTATTATAGTTAATTATTGAGGCAGATTTTGATTGTATTAATGATTATTACAAGCAAATTCCTCACTTTTGATATATTTAATCAAACATGATACCCTATTCAAATATCCTTAAATACTAATGTTTCCTCTGAACAGACTTTGAAATTTACATTTTCCCCAGGTCTTTGGTATTTTTTAAACTGTCTCAATTTGTGGGTAATTGATGCCAGCACTGAGTGTTTATACACAGAGAAAACACTGTTACCAATTGATTAAAGTTGAAAAAATGAAGGCTATTTTAAAAAAGCTTTAATCAATTATAATTTTACCTGAATCTTCTGTGTGCTTTTAAGGGCAGAAGATCTAAATAATTAGGAAAGCTGATAAAATGTTTATAGCTAATTAAAAATAAACTGATTCCCATTGTGAAAAATATATAGAAGCTATGTTTGTAGTCTGATGTAGTCTTCTCCAAAATAAGATTGTTAAATTCTTTTTTTTAATCATGTAGTTTTCAAGGATGCTGTGGGAATAACATATCTTGAGTTCAGTAAAGCATTTGACCAAGAACCATTATGGATGGTAATACCTATTAATTGACTCCACAGTGGATCCATGGTGGGTTTAAATGAATTCTTATATAGTGATATCTCATCAAATTGGAGAGAGATCTTGTTATTACATTTTTATTAGAATCTTGAGCACATACAAATAAAATTCTGACTCCCATTCCAAAATAAGTAACTCCGCTTTTCAAGCTACATAGAACCTTGGAATTGGAAGACGGTGTTTTGGCCACCAAAACACCGTCTTCCAATTCCAAGATTCTGTGTAGCTTGAAAGCGGAGTTACTTATTTTGGAATGGAAGTAGGTGAAGCAAATTTAGAATTAACTGGTCTTATTAACTGGTAGGATGAGAAGGACAAAAGCATGATTGAGTAGGCAATAGTGTTTCACTCTGGAAAAGCTATTTGGCAAGTTTAGTGTTTGAAACATGCCCTCAGTTACACCTGTGGTAATTGACTGCCATCACTTTGCAGTGTCGAGTTACATTAAAATTAATTCTTATTAGAACTATTTAAATGCATAGTCCTTATTGCCAACCCTCAAGTATTGAGAAGTATTGCTTCTCAATACTTGAGGGTCTAGTATTGCATAGAATGGTAGTATTGAGATCAGTTAGATTTATCCAGATTTATTCAGTTGTAAGCTTCGAAATCCATCCAGAATATACACTGGATAAGTATTATGGGAATAGTAGTCCAACATATGTGGAAGGCCTCAGGTTGCATACCTCTGCTTCACAAGTATTATTTCTTCCAAACTTGAATATGAAAGGAATAAACACAAAGAACCAGATTATATACAAAACATTTTATTACATATATTTGTGAATTTACAATATGTACATATTGCACATTTAGCTGGAATGTATATTTCTATTGTACAGGAAAGAAGTGACTTTAGAGTGGATACAGAATCCAACCTAAAACAGGTTTATCTCTTGCCTATGGCATGCAGTCTAGTAGACCACCACTGTAACAGCTTTATGAAAAGTTTGTAACATAACATTTTCAATTGCATAAGCAAGAAAGATATCAATGCTTCCTCCACAGGCAGGTTTCCTTGATTGTGCTGTAATGTCTCAACGGGAAACATGTCTATACTTGAAAAGATGGTACTTGCTACTTTTTTGGCAGTACAACACAACTGTTGTAGAGCAACTTTAAAGCATAAAACATGAACAAGTAATTAACCTTTTGGTAGTTTTTCACTAAAAAGAATGCATCTGTAAACAGTGATGATGGGATACAAAACACATTTTTAAAGTTTTATGAGACGTAGTCCATCAATTTCCAAAAATAAATCTCTGGTTCATAATGCCATATATTACAAAAATGCTAAATTCAATTTCCCTGTCAGTTTCCAAGGCACTTCTCTTGGTTCTTCTATATATTTTTCCTTTGATAATAGTAGCATCTGAAATAAAACAAAAACACAAAAGATTAAACTATACTTTTCCTGATGTTTCACATTAATTTTCAATAAATCCTGTTAAATAATAATTCAGATTGTTTCCAGTTCCTATTGGAATGTGGGAATTGAGACAAATGAGAGAAACCTAGCATAATATAAAAATCTAAATTTATAATCCATGTTACAAAGTACAGTAGACTATTCCCAGGTTCCATTCGCCAATTTGCACCTCTTTGCTGTACAGTTTCTTTTTTCCAAACTTAATAACATTCTTTTGCACAAGGGTGATCCTGATTGGTATTCTGAAGCACTACATAAACAACTTGAACATTGGAAATAGAAGGGATGGTATTAAATTTCCTCTATATCAAATAATTAATTTAAAGAGAAAATAATCCAGTGATTCCTTTGGGGGCATCCATAGTCCCTGGTATTGCTATACAGTATTGCTGTATTGCTTTACTGTATTGCTAAGCAGGTATAGTAATTCAAATACAAATTGTGGTTGAATAAGCAAATAGATTTTAATGCTGTTTCATTCTATGTGTAACAAAAGCAACAATATTTATATGCTGCATTATATCATGAATGGTGTAGATGTGTAACTGGTTTCTACACATATCTAATATTAAAAATGTTTATTATATCAACAAAAAGGTATCTAGTATAAATAGAAAGAAATAGCAGTTGATTTAATTCCTGAAAAATTAGCTATACCCAATACGGTATCTACTAACTGCACACTACTATGAATAATTCACAGTTGTTGCCTGAGAGTCTATACTGTATTGCTTTCCAGTAAGTATGTTTTTATTAACAGTAAATATTTTACTAAATGAAAGAGTTTGCATCGCTTTTTGAAACAAGCATATTTCAGTCCAAAAGATATTCTGCTCATGAATTAGTCATTGTTATCCACACAGTGGCAGCATACAATTCTTCCTCTCAATAATCTTACCTTATCCTTCTGTGCACATTGGACTTACTGCCAACCGAGTAAGAAGCCTGGCACATCTTTTATAATCTGTGATGGGGAAAAAAAGATAAATAGTGTAAAAAGTTCTTCTGGGGAGGGTTGGGTTATTGTATTTTTAAAATGCAATTTGTATGAGGGAATATAAATAATTCATCTTGAAGCACTGTATTGTAGATTTGAATTTGTGTGCTTAAGGAGCTAATTTTAAACATGCTTCTTAGATTTTTAAGCATGGTATATAAGTTTGCCATCCTGTGAAGACTGATTTGGCATAGGGCACTGTTGAATGGATGGATATTTCACCAGACTAAGATGATGGATATTTACTGATATCCATGAAAACACTTTCCACTTGCATGAGAAAAATCGGTTTGTATGTTTCTGCAGTGAACTATTTATATAACTAGCCATACCTATGAAGAAAGCAAATAAAATTTGATGTTAATTATGGGGCAAGTTAATCAGCATTCCGCTATCAATCTAATATGGAATACGATAGCTGCTAACAGGGTAGTAGCAAGAAAGAGGAAAGGAGGACTCAGATGCTGAAAACTTGTAGAAAAGGAAAAACAGTACAGATGGTCTAGCATAGCAGCTCTCAATCTTTGGCAACTTAAAACATATTACTTGGTCCATCAAAAACTCAAGTCCCATAATAAAACCTACTATTTCAAAGGTAGGTTTATATATGTTTAGACTTTCTGTTGCCATAAATATAGGAAGTTTTAAACATTTCAGTGAATTGCCCTGTATCCCATTAAACAACACATTTTATTTATTTATTTAGCATATTTAGGAACTGCTCATGTCCCTCATAGAGTGATTATTAAATCTTAAATTATGCAACATTGCTTGCACAATGTCAACCTTTAAATGAAGTATATTTTGATGTTCATTAGTTAAATAGTTCCAGAGCACATTAGTGAAAACACTGGGAGCTAAAACAAGTAATAGAAGCAGTAGCAAAGCATGTAAATTCATTTTCATCTCATGAACTAATAGCATGTTTTTGTTAATGACCAGTTTATATTATATGCTTGTACCCACGCAGATTTATGCAGAAATGTGGATGCAATAATAAGAAAAAGAAATGTGTCTTACTAAATACTGTACAGTATTTAGGCTGCCACTTAGTTCTGTAATTGAGTTCCTCACATATCATTTAAGTTCACTCTAGCAATCAGGGTTGGTTTTAAATCCTATGAAAAGTAATCCTTAGTGGAAAAACGTTGCTATAGGGTAACATACGTTGCCCAGAATCTATGGTAGTTTTTCTAGAATGTTATAATGTAATTAATTCCCAATTGCCAAGCTTATTTTAAAATACCCATTTTTGTTCAGTTAAAATTGTTGGAAAATAAGAAACAAACATACTTTGTTGAATTGCTGACTCTTTATTTGGGAAGCCTTTGACTAGATTTGACTAAATACTAAATTTGATATGGTTCCTTGGTTTTGGCTTAGATTAGTTGAACAAACAAATGTTGGTGTTTTCAGCTACTCTAATAACAGGTATTAACAGATTTAACACAATGTGTGAGAGATTTTGTGGTCAATTGTGAATAGAGGGATAAATTCATAAGGAAAAGTTAATCTACTTGTAGAAATATTACCTCCTGCTTACATGAATTTGGATTGGAATTGTTTTCCGGTAGTACTTCATTTATTTTACTGTCTTCAGAATTCAGAATATTTCGGCATAGTAGGTTTTTTTTCATTATCTTAGGAAATTATACTTTGAATAATTGCTTTTCTAGGAACAGTAGTACCAGGATTTTTCAGTGGTGTATTTGTGCTTTAAGCACAGAGCAAGTTTAATTTGTAAATTTCTATTATCTGAAGTGATAAGAAATTCAGTTTCTGTACTGAAATCCTAAAACAAAAAGAATTGGCATATAATGGAAGAGCAGATTGACTGCCTACACAAATATGTTTTAAATGATTGTTTATGAAATTAGAAATTAGAACCATTAGATTGCCCTGAGGAATCGCAAGAAGGCACTCCTCTATTTCATGGCTTTAACTCTACAAACTCTCCACAAACTATCATGTTAATTATACAGGGTGATTCTTTAAAAAGCTATATTTATTAGTAATTCTGGTCTTGGATGATAGAACTTACATGCAGGTATGGTACAATCTCTTGTATGGTGATAAAGTCTATGAAAGTGTTTAGTGCATTTTGGGCCAAAGTAAAGGTGACCTGGAAAAGAAGAAAATCAGCAGATTAATTTAATTAGTGCCATAAGAAAAAGGATTATAAGTAAGGCAATAATTCAGATGTGAAATTTGGCTTACCTGTTAAATGGTTTAAAAATTTGTCTTTCATTCTCAGGTCTCTAGGAAATATTTCTGTTAAAGAGAATAAAGATACTTTTTTAGAACAGTCAGTATTTATATTCTGGTTCTGTAATTCCCTGGAATGTACAATTCAAGGCAAAAGTAAAAAAATTGTCTGAAAGGGCAATGATGTTTTAGAACAGGGGTGTCAAACTTGTGACCTGTGGCCTGGATGCTTCATGCATTGGCCACGTCCACGCCCAATTTAGCGAAGGGGAAAAAAGTTGTGATACGTCACATGACACCGCCGTGATGCTATGAGTTTGACACCCCTGTTTTAGAAGCAAAGTATAATCTTTCTTGTTTTGCATTTATAGTTTTGGAACAAAAGTCTTATATAATTAAGATATTCCCATTTAATAAGAGCAGCAAGTTTTTGAGTAAAGATGACTAGTATTTGGCTTCACAGCTATGATCTTGCTAAAAGTTCTTGGAAATCAGCAAATTGTAATTATTTTGCTTTATTTCTGTGCTTCCTAAGAGACAATATTAGTGACTTAAATTGATACAATTAAATAATAAATAGGACTGTCTCAGAGGGATTGGAATAGGGAGATACTGTCATGCAATGGTTCTCTTTCTTAAAGGTTGTTTCTGGCACCAATGATCCAGAGAAATACTGTCTCAGATTCAGAACAAATATTCCGCCACTCTGAGATGATCCACAATTTGAACATTGATACAGGGGCAAGGATGTCAAATTTGGGACGACACGTCATGTGAAAATCACAACTTTTTTCCCCTTTGCTAAAATGGGTGTGGGGGTGGCCATCGTGTGACATATCCAGCCTGCGGGCCACCTCTGGCTTAGGGGGACAAGTGGTTACTATAGCAAAAAAGGCTTTTGCCCAGTTTCATCTTGGGCAACAATTGTGACCTTTCCTGGATCAGTACCCCCTGTTCATTGATAATAGTTATCTAGCCACTTCCCATTTGGACTCTTGTAATATGTTTTATGTGGGATTGCCTTGAAGAGCATCAAGAAGCTATAATTGCAATGGCCTGAGCAGTCATGGATGTATTTTATATGTATATAAAATGCTGTGGCTTGGGCAATCTGTTCTGGTGATCTCTCTGCTTTGGGATTACAAACTAAAGGGATTCCTCTGGTCTCTTCAAATTCTAGCTTCTCTGTGCATCTCTATTCTTTTGGCTTGATGCTGATTTGCTGGCAAAGGTGTCATGGGCCTTCTAGTTGTTTTAGCTAAAGCTGCTCTGACATGAGAGGGAGAAAGGACTGTCAGCTTAAGTCTCAGTAGCTGTGGATAATATCCTTAAAATCCAAGATCATTCATCTTAAATTATGCAACATTGCTTGCACAATGTCACCTTTTAAACGAAGTACATTGACACTAATTAGTTAAGTAGTTCCAGAGCACATCAGTAAAAAAACTAAAAGCTAAAGTGAGTAATAGAAGCAATAGTAAAACTTGTAAATTCATTTTCGTGTTGGAACTAAGAATAGCATATTTTTCTTAAGGAGCAGTTTTATATCATATGCTTCTATCCATGCAGATTTATGCAGAAATGTGGATGCAAAATAAGGAGTGAAAAAAAGAAATGTGTCTTACTAAATACTGTATTTAGGCTGCCATTTCCTTCTGTAATTCAGTTCCTCAACATCCTTATCCAGGATGGGGCAATATTGACACACATTGTCAGAGAAATTGACAGAATATTATATTTTGAAAGAAATGAAACCATGTTGTTGAACAAAATATGGAGGCGAGTGGGAAATACATAAAACTATTTAGTTACTGTTTGCTTTCTCATAGCTTATTCAATGGATGGGAATATAACTAGCTTATTGAAATCTTCTTTAGCTTCTCATGGCCATCTCTTTGATTTAGTGTCATATTTAATATTGTTATTTACAATTTTGTCATGATGACAATTGCATATTATCATTAATATTACCATAAATTAATACATAAATGACATTTCCCTTTGTGATTTTTACATTCAACTATATCTGGCCGCTAGGGAGTTTAGCTATTTCTCAAAATTTAGCTTTTATTTATTTCTAAGTATAGTCCAACTCAGTTGAATTGATCCTATCATATTTTGATTTAATTCTGGCAAGTGCAGCACTAAATGCTTAGGTACTTCTCTCAAAAGTTGACAAGATGATGGCAATTCTGAAAGGTAGTTCTGGCTAAGTTTCTTCAGAAAAATATTTCAGAAGTGGGCAAGTTTTCATTAAAACATATAGTCTGCATCTGTGTAGTCCGGATTGTGGGGGCAATAAACTGACTTTGTATAAAAAAGAACACTGCTTGGGGGCCCCAAAAGCCCTACTAAGCAGGTATATACAAAAGTATGAAGGCTATTGCTTAACGCACTGTAAGCCGCCCTGAGTCTCCGGAGAAGGGCGGCATATAAATCGAACCAATAAATAAATAAATAAATAAATAAATAAATAAATAAATAAATAAATAAATAAATAAATAAATTCTGCAAAATGACACACTGAATTTCAGTCTGTTGCTTAAGCAGATTTTGCAGTTGTTTTAAAGTTGTATATTTAAAAACAGTAAAATATATGATAGAATATACATCTCAAACTTTTGGTGAATGCATCTTTCTCATTTTATGGATAATATTATTGAAGTGGATTGCCATTGCCTTCTTTTGGGATATGTTTTTTTTCAGCTTCTCTTTAGCCAATAGTTCTAACCTTAGCCAATAGTGCTAAGATTTCTAGCTACAGTTGAGTTTAGCCAAGGTGAGCCAAATGTTCACCAAATGAGGAACATATGATTTCTATAAGCATTTTCAAATACACATAACCAATGTTAATTCTAGGATAAACAAACATCTATTAAAAATGTATGTTTCATCCATACATTTTTCTTTTTCCTATAATGATTAAAACTGTAGCACTAAGCAACCTTAATTAATTGATCCCTGATAGAACTTCTTCCAAAGAAATACAGCATGTATTTCACTAGGATAAAAATCGCATTAAACAATATCTAATATGATGGGTACAACTGGTTTTCCCATAGCAAGATTGTACTTTTTGCTACATTGAAACTTCCCTTTCCTCAACAAATTACTAATACAAAATTAACTATTCTAAGAAAAATCCTTAAATTTGACATTCTGAATTTTTTTCAAAGAAATGTGTCTGCAGTATTTTGGAGAAAACTATTTTATAGTATTTTGCATATGTGAGGAAGCAAAAAGCTAAATCTATGTATCTATTTTCTGGGGAGTCAAATATTTTTAAAGTATGTTCCATATTCACTGCTTTCTTTAGACTTAAGACAAGACAATATTTTAACATGAAATTTAGTTCATCAGTTCTGTTGAAACTTTAAGAAGAAACACATTTGTTTCACAGATACTAAACCACCAGCATGAAGGTAAAACAATTTATAAACCCGCAGGTTTTAACAAATGCAATCACTTTCAAATCTCATTGGTTTCAATGTGAGAGGTGGAAAAAGAATTATAATTGCTTACAATTGTACTTTCTATCAACAGCCTTTTGTAAAAGCACATTAGTCTAATATATGTCATATCCTTCCTGTGGAGGATCAGGTGAGTAGAGAAGACATTGATCTGATTTGTATATTGCACTGAACCATTTGAAATAGACTATAGCAGTAGCACTTAGACTTATATGTAACACGGTATATAAGTCTAAGTGCTATTGATATTGCTATATACCGCTTCACAGTGCTTTACAGTCCTTTCTAAGCAGTTTACAGAGTCAGCATATTGCCCCCAACAATCTGAGTCCTCATTTTACTGACCTCGGAAGGATGGAAGGCTGAGTCAAACTTGAGCTTTGTGACACTCGAACTGTCAAACTGCAGTCAACCAGCAGTCAGCAGAAGTAGCCTGCAATACTGCATTCTAACCACTGCGCCACCATGGCTCAATTATAATTAGTTTGGCTCACACAACTTGCTAAGACAAAATGAAGCAATCACATGTTGGCTTAGTGCAATAAGTTATTGTACATATATTAAAAGAAAATCTTATTTTGCTCTAATAGCACAAACTTTGTGTCAGTTACAAGATTCACTTTGAGGATGTGTTAAATTTAATGAGTCTTTAAAATATTAAAGTACTGACCACTATGCTATATCACCTTGAAGAAATAAAAGGTATGTATCCCATTTTCTCAAAGCCCTGGTTTGATGGGAGATGACTTCCTATCTTTTTAATTTTTTCATTAATACCAGAGGGACTCTAGGATGCTGAACTTAATATAGAATAAATAAACAGTAGAGAAGCAGAAAATCTGAGATAGACTCAAGGGAGTTCAGGATTGGATTCTTGCACAACTGCTTTTGATTCCAAGCAGACAGCAAGCAAAGCACACTTAGAATATGCATATGCAGAAATGGGAATTTTACCAGGTACATTTGCTTCATGCATATAAGACTGCACCTGCATAGTAGGAATGAAAATCTGAATTGTAGGAAATGAAATATTTTATAACACCATATATAGTGAATATGCCTGTAAGCAGCTCTAGCAGTCATTGGAAAATTCCCATTACTGTCACTATCATAAGTAATCAACTGATAGTATATTAAACACAGACTGATAACTTTTTGGAATTTCTACATGTGTATCTGGTTTTTTTTGCACCTGACACTCAGTGAATTGGGGACTTTTAAACTTTTTAAACTTTTAATGCATTATAATTTACACCAAAATTATAATGATATTTTATTTCTGTATCATTTTTCCTCCTAGATGAGCCGAGAGCAGATCCATAAAGAATAAACATAATTTTCAATAGAATAAAAAAAACCAAGAAAAATAATAGATGAAAATAGCTAAATGGCTAATTTTAAGAAAGGATTCTAAAAGATGGTATACCGGGAGCAGTTATCTACTCATACCTGGATGAACTATTATCTTCAACAGTCATACAAAAAGATCTGAGGCTAGCTATACTTTCCATAATAATGAGTACTCAGAGAAGACTCTTCCTGGCCAAACCCAAAGGTGACCACACACAGAACCTCCCTTGCTGATTTTAGTGCAATCTTGTAAGCCTTTGAGTCTTAAACTGCTCAGAACTTTATAAACTAATTGAAACACTTGTGTTGGTCCAAGAACTCGCAGTCTGTGCAGCATTTTCAGGATCAATGTTATTGATTTAAATTTGATTTATCTATTCCGTTTAGCAATTGAGCTGCTGCATTCTAAATATGATGGTGCCCAGTGGTAGCCCTTGACTGGATACATTATGCTTATCCCATCATGAGATTACTAGGGAATGGTTCACTGAGACTAGACTAGTTAGACCAGATGCCCGAACAAACTTAGTCATAAGATTTTTTTGTTACTGAACTACCAGTCCTATTAGTTGTCAGAATCAAAGAGAGACCCCATTGTATCCATCGTGGGAGTTGGCTCATCTAGAACAGGACACTCTTAACTCCTAGATCTGAAAATTACTCATCTACAACCATTATATTTGGTTCAGCTTATTGGACCTTATCCAATTTATCACTGCCTCTAAGCCAAGAGTCTGAACTTCAAATGATCACTAAAGCTCTATGTGGTCTAGTTCCTTAGCCAAGAGCTACAACATTAGTCTTTTCATGCCACACCATTTAGAGAATCTTCCTCTAAAAATGCTTCAAATCACCTATGAAACTGCTCACCTGCCACCCCAAAATCTTGGCTGTGTGGTACACTGAAGATGCAGTGCTGGTGGAGAAATAAAATAAAATGCACAGAAAAAACATCCTTGCGGTTTTTCTAAACAATCATATTCATAGTGAGAATTAAGCCCACATATATTCTTACTAGTTAGAGTTAGGATTTCTTCGTTGCCCAGAGGTCCATATTTCATGGCTCCATACTTAGAGACCATACACGGTGATAGACCAAACACTCATTTCATCTCCAGATGACACAAACAAGAAGTACAACAAATTGCCAGATACACATCTCTGAAGCTACAGCATTTTCAAATTGGAGTTGTTGTGAGATGAACCATTTTATAGATGAGATTTAGATATAAGTAAGTTAAGTAAATAATACAGACATCTCAGATATGGTTTTGGGGCAGCAAGGTAGGCTGAACCCTGTTCTGTTTCTGCATCCCAAATCAAGTAGAAACAGACCTTAGCAAATGTAATATGTCATATCCTCTCTAGTCTATGTTGATGCTAAGCCAAATACCTAATTGGGCAGAACTTGGTCAGATCAGATCTGGTCCTCTCATTTCCTCTAGCTTCAGAGCAGTTGAACCCATTCCTCTATGCAAAAATCAGTCAGGTTATCTTTATACAAACTATAGAATTCTTCAGGGACAACTGGCAGTGTAATTGCACATTTTTCTTTTTAGTAAAGTGGGGATTATCAAACTATTTAATACAACACAATAGACTTACCAACTTTCTGTTCCTCTGAGTAAGTTCCATAGTCAGGCATTTCCCTTTGATCAAGAGGTGGGTAGTCTTGCTTGTACTGCACTCCATTTTCTTCATCCTCTTCTAGATGGTATTTTTTCAGTTCTTGAATTATCTCCATTATCAGATTTAAGAGATTTTGTCTTTCCTTCAGCCCCACACTAGATTCTGATTTTTCTTTACAATGTCCTGCAGAAAGTATCAATGCCATCAGCCCAATCAGCACTGACGACCTTAGAAGTTTGCACATTGCACTTGTGGGGACAATCCAGAAAAAGAGAATGTGTTTCCCACTTACTCCCTGAAAGAGAGAAAATGTTTTTTTAAAAAAAATCAGAAAGAAGACACTAATTTAAATAGAATATTTTTCATTATATGTATGGAACAAGCTACTTAGAGTTGTTGCTGCTTCCTTTTTTTATTTCAGTAAAATATTCTTTAGCTAGGAAGACAGTTGGACTTCTAGATGCATTCATGTAACAGTCTGACCTTATCCTTCACACTCAAAAGTATCAAGAACTGTAATGAAATTGGTGAAGGAGAAAAGATACCCTCCAAAATCAGCTGGGCAAAGAAAAAAAAGGAAAAACAAAATCTTAGAAAACAGCCAACTAATAGCACAGATAAAATTTCTCCATTTGCTTGGCAGACCCTGAAAATCTGAATGAAATTTATGTGTTAAGCACCCTGCCTCTTAATAACGTTAAGAGCAGATAACAAAGTTCAACAAGGAGTAAACAAAAATGTGGGGGGTGGGAAGAGAGAAATCAATTTTAGTGTCACCTGACTCCAGTATATGGCTTCTAAGTCACTGGGAAATTTTTCAGCCTATTCAGATTTTCTTGACTTGATCTTGTTAATTTATTTTTAAAAATTCATTTATTATTTATTTAAAATGTATTAAAAATTTCTGCTGGTGGTTACAGAGACATTGATCAAATAATAACTTAGCTAAGTATTTAAAAATCTACATGGCAATCATAACGGATTTACTACTCTTATTCCTGGTTTGGTGATGTTTTCACTATTTTCAGTCAATACATTGGGAACTATTTCTTATTTGTACACTGGCCTTCCATTAAAATTCTCAAAGCAAAGTATCTCTGTATGGTTTGCATCTTCCTCCAGTCATAGTAAGATTCTACAAGGCTGCCAAATGCCGTTACAGGCCATCAATTTATTAAGCGATTATACCCACTGTACCCCATGGTATATGGTCCTACAGTGGAGCCAGTTCAGAAAGCTCCAAAACCTTTCAAGGAAAACTTCCACATCATACAGCTCCAGACCGAATTGGTCTGGCCTGATCCCATCTAATGCTTCCTGTTCAAGGCATAAAATCTGAATTTAACACCTCCCACCACCATTTATCTTATCTGCTCAGACATCCACAGTGTGTCAATTTGGCCGACCTTACCGGGAGGTCGTTTTTTCCACATTGCTTGGGATGCTCAGTGCAGCTTCACTGCATTTGGATTCCCAAAGCTAAACGGATTGCAGAAAAGAAAGCACCCAACCCAGCATCGCGGAGCGCTCTCACTTTTCATGGGGTGGATGTCAGATTTCACCTAGAGATACCAACGCTACTTAAAATGACTTGATTCGGACTAGATCTTCCACTCTTGTCTTTCTCCGGAGGAACCTATTCTGTGACCAGCTCTATCTCTGGCTTGTATTCCTACGGAGCAGAATTTTTCTACAACGAAGCAACTCCCCCAGAGGTGCGTTTTGTCTCTCTGGACTGACATCAGCTCTGAAGCAGAACCGATCGAAGGAAGACCTTGCAGCCTAGCAAGAAGGAAGCCTTCTTCCGACAGGCTCCCAAAATTCGCCCGCGCCCGCACTCGCCCATCGCCGCCAAAAGAAAGCGCCCCGAGAACTGTTGAGGAGTCCGCTAAAACTTGGCCGGGAGCGAGCGGGCGCTATCGCTGCAGCTGCCACTCCTAGCAAGCAATCCGGAGGCGCTGGCGCTAGCTGCTCGCACTTGGGAGACTGAAGGGGCATACCTGTCTCCGCTGGCTTCAGTCAGACCCCTGACTTAGACGGTCCTGATGTCCCCTGAGCTGAGCTGCAGCAGCGAAAGAGGAGCGTTTCACCGCCCTTCTCGGCTTTTTCCGTCTTCTCCCTTACGCGCCCGCCGTCTGTTCTCCTTCACCTCCTACTCCATGTCTGCGCTTTATATAGGTTCACAAGGAGTTCATGAGGTGGCCGCCGCCGCCGAGTCAGCTCGTCTCGATTTGCGAGTGGGTGGACGGCCGGCTCCGCGTCCCGCTTGGCTACCTCGCGAGCGCCGCCGCTCTTCCCCTGTTGCTGCCGCCACCGAAGTTCCCTCGGACTCCCCTGCTTTGCCACCGCGCGCTCTCCTCTTATGCTGCTCCCCCCCACCCCACCCTGCAGACGTAGAAGGAGCTGTCCCGGCTCGGGCGAAGGGGGGTGGGGGCTGAAAAAGAGGGAAGGAGGGGGGCACTCGCCAAGTTTCTTTAATTAGAATGCCTGCGCTGATCATTTCCCGCACGCGCGCGCACACTCCACCCACCTACCCCCCTCTCTCTCTCTCTCTCTCACACACACACACACACACACCACACGTTTTGTTTCAGACGTCCAACCTCCTCCACGCTTCCCGTCTCGGGGTTGCATCTTCGGGGCATCGGCGGCTGCCAACTGAGCATGACTTGCCAGCAAGATTCGTGACTGGACGGCGCTGGATAGGAAAGGACGGACTGGGTGGAAAAGGGCGGGAATGAGGACGGGCGACGGCGATTGTCTCATCTTCTCGAGCGAGAAGAAGAAGCGGTGCCAGTCCCGCCTTCCGATTGAAGGGATGGGGCTGTCCGGAATTCCCTCCCTGTCACCGAAGAAACTTTCAGCCAGGTTCCCCCTGGGTTGCTCCCTCAGCCCAGGACAAAAGTCCTGCCCTCAGGTTCTCCCAGAACGACCTCTGCTGGACCCCGATTCATCCATTCTCCTATGTTTGTGGGATGGGAGTGTGCCAGGTCAAGAAGACCCGTCCCTCCTTGGTTTCCCGCTATTGAAACTTAAGAGCTGTGGGGAGTGGACCAATTCTTTGTGATGAATTTGTCTAATGCTTTTTTTTTTTTATAGCTGCCTGCCAGCAAGAAATGCCACAAGTTGTGGTAGAAAATTCTGCACGGTGAATTAAGTGCTCCCAAGTTGTGGGAAGAAGCACTATTTCTAAGCCTTGAATATCCTGTCAGCCTCATTAGATGGAGTGTTAGAAGAAGTTTTAAGAGGAAATTTGTGGCTTGTTTCTTTATGACATTGGTGTTTTCTGCCTTTCCTACAAGCAGCTCAAGGGGGCATACGTGGCTTTCCTTACTGTAATCCTCACACCAATTCCGTGGCTGTGCCTGCACAATATGTGGTTAAGGGAACACAGTCACTAACCTACAAATTTGGCCAGTCACAGTTTTAAATTAGCAGGTTGTGCCAACTTAATCTATGAGTTTGATTTAGCAAGCAGCTCTCGTGTATGAATGCCATACTGAGTAGCAATATAAATTATTTCTTACCATTCCTTAGTTTCTGGAGTCTGTGTCATAACTGTAGCTGTTAAATTGTATATAGAGATTTAATTGCTTTAAATCTGTGGTTGGCCAAGTAAAAGTACATATCAAGAGGGCACCTTTCTTTCCTCCCTCCCTCCCTCCCTCCCTCCCTCCCCCCCTCTCTCTCTTTCCAGTGAATTTATTTATTTCTTTATTACATTTCTATGGAACCCATCTCACCTAAGTGATTTATCTAAGTGACTAAATTTGAATTTTGAAATATATGCCCCTATAGTAAGGTCAGGACAAAACAGCATCAGAAAAATTATGCAATTAAATTCAACTGTTAATTAAATAAGGCAAGTAGGATTTCTATCTATCTATCTATCTATCTATCTATCTATCTATCTATCTATCTATTAAACAGGAGCCGCCCTGAGTCTTCGGAGAGGGGCGGGATACAAATTGAATTAATAAATAAATAATAAATAAATAAACTAATGATGACCAAATAATTAGAATTTAGTACATAGACTTTAATGGTGGACTGTGAGACCATTCAAGATTAATTTTTTTTCCTCATTCAAGTGGAATAGAAGTTCTTTTTCTCCAGGCAATTTTTTTGTGATACGGTGTTCCAATTCTGGATCTCAGAGCAGTGAGAGGCATAACATTCCAAAAACAAAAGACATCTTTTGCTTGAGTTTGGTTGGAAAAATTGGCTTGGAGAGTGGGAAAGAAAAGAGGGGATTAAATTCAGGAATTCATAGATATGTCTTCAAATTAGAGTGGGCCTCAAATGTGACCTTTTGGATGTCTGGCAAAATCTGAGAAAAGAGGAAGAGGTAAAATATGTTTGCTGTTATTCTACATCTGATTATTTCTGAGATTCTCTCTGAGGAATTCCATGTGAACCTTACTTTTTTTCAAATTTGGTGTTTTTCAGTTTTTCTAATCAGTACAAAAGAAAACCAAAGCAGCATATAACAAATTCACAAAATAAACACATATATATTGGAGTCTCCTAACATACCAGCCATGATACTTGGGGAAAATATTAGATCTTAACAGTGTTGTAGAAAGTCAAGAGGGTCGGGGCTCTCTGAATCCTGGAACAAGTTGTTTCATAAGGCTTTCACTGCAACAGAGAAGTTGTGTCTCCTTGATCCTTGGTCCTGGAACTAGAGGGGACCTGTAGGATGTTCTCTCTATCATATTTGGTGTAAAGACCATACAATTTGAAAGCTTGCACTAATTTCTTTGATATTTTGTGTGCTTCATCATCTCACAACATCTACTCCCATGAATTCTGAATTTAAAATATTTTAGAAGCCATTATGCGTACATAAATTCTTGCACATGAGATAATAGGGTCACAGGTCTCCATATTTTCACAAATGAATTAGAAAGTTCACTGGTTTGCACAGACTTCAAAGTTATTGGATGATAATTTCAGAGAAATTATACATCCAACAACTTTTGGAGGTTATCACAATCTTAATATACATGTCTCTGGATTTATGTCCCCACTGGTTTTCAACGGAGAGGTAAGTTATATTGAAAAGTATTCTACTTTACAGGTAATACAATTATGAAATGTGGGATTAGGATCTGGAACACCTAGGTTCAAATCTAGCCCCAGCCACAGAAATTCAATGGGCAACTTGGGACAATCACACAAACTGCTTAAGGGGGCATTGTGGATAAGTTTGAATCAGGGAGTGCTATCTATTCTGCTCTGAACTTTGGAGGAAAGGTCAGCTATAAGTCTCATAAAACTAATAAAAATAAAGTTCATACATCATACATTATATATCTTGCTACTATGCTTATTTAAGCAATCAAGGCAGATATTTTACTACAGCTATCATGCAATCCCTGTAATTGCAATTTTTACAATTACAACAGCAATTTCTAGAGAGTTTTCAAGGAGAACCCCACATAAAGCACATTGCAGTAAACAAGACAGGGATGTAACCAAGGTATAGATAATTGTTGCCAGGTCTTGCTGAGAAAGGGCTGTAGTTGATACATATCCATAGTTATGCTAACGGGCATTACAACCACCACTAGCAAATCCAATGGCAACTGGAGCTCAAAGAGTACTCCCAGACTACTAACTTGCTATTTTGGTGGGAATAGTATGCCATTAAAAATAGGTTTCACTTGAGTCAATCTTTTCTGGATTTAATTTCAGCTGGTTTGCCTTCATCGATTCCCTTATTAAGATTAGGCAATTTCAATAACATTTATTGCCTCCTTGGAGTTAGATGTGGGGCAATTGAGCTGGATGATATCAGTCCAATGATAGAACTCAAAAAGTCTTATCCCAATAATTACACAGCATGTGAAACATGATAGAACCCTGTGGAATACAATGTCAAACTATCTAGGTGTCAAGCAGTAATCTTCCAGTAAGCACTCATGGCCCAACAGGAACAACGGGAACTATTGCAAAGCAATGCCTGCAAGGTCCAGTCCTAACAGGCAGCTCAGACGAATTGCCATGGCCAGAAGTAATAAAAGCCACTGAGGAGTCCTGAACAACTAGGTGATGGACACCCTATCACCTAGTCTCTGGAATGAGTTACCCACCAAGATGACCAAAGCATTCTCGTATCTTCCTTGATGAAAATCCAGTCGGAATGGGTTTAACTGATTGAATCCAAATGCAATTTGAGCTATGAATCTTCTTTATTCTTATCCAGAAATTGAACGTGAAACTGGCATTTATAGTTACAGAGATCTTCCGGATACAGGGAAGTTTTCTCAGTACATGTCTTATACTGTAACAAGCTTCTTCAAGCAAGCAGGCACATATTCCATCATCAAAGAGGCATTGACTGCATCCTTTAAGCATGCATTAGTCTCAGTCTGGCCAGAAGTGACATAGATTAATGAAATAGGTGGGCTATTCACATATCTGACAATGTTTTTGGTTTTTTTAAGTAAAAATATGAACAGGGCAAATGGTTGCCAAGTTTCATATACCATGTCCCAGTCTTCTACTCTTACAGACCTTTATAGCAACAATTACTCAATAACTGAGCAGAAATGATGACTCATATACAATAAGTGGTCAACATGAGTGGTCTACAGTATTTACATCAGAAGTGTGCTATTTAAGAATTTCAAAAAAAGTCATAATTCTTCTTCCATGGAATTCTATCTTATCAGCCAAATGAATATAATAATAATAATAATATCCCCCCCCCAAGATAAATACTATAGAAATGAATGGACTAAAAACTGCTATAAGGTTCTGTGTTCTTGATATATGCAAGTGATTAATCATAATAATAAGAAAAGGATTATTTTTAAAAATCCAATTACTTAAATGAAACATTCATGTCTTGCAAAGAAATATCATACCATTAAGATACCTGCTAAACAAGATAATATGGGACTAAACATGACTGAAACAGGATACAGCAGAACAATCTTATTTGCTCTAATGGTGTGTACATAAACCGCTCCCTTTTCTGCTAATAAAGTAAATAGAAAGTTGGTGTGTTGTGATCATTTCTCAACCTGTATGAAATTGATAGAGGGAAGCACTAGAGGTAATTAAGATGAACTCTGATTGAAGTAGATAAATAATCATATCCCTTGTAACATAATTGTTTCAGAAGCAAAGAAAAAGCTGATCAGGTGGGCTAAACATTGTAACTAGATACCGTAGTAACAGTGGTGACACATAATGGTGATACCTGGTATTGCTCTGGGGAAACCTTTTTTAACCAAATAAGCATAAGAAAGAAAGAAAAAGAAGTATTTAATTAAAAGTCTTCTTCCAAGAGCAGTGATTCTATGAGC